TAACCTCCGAATGTACAAAAACATTCAAACACCTCCCTCCTCCCCCTATCCTTTATAGGAACGCAAGATGCTCTTGGAACTTCCATTTTTCACTATAAATGAAATGAAATGAATCATGCAATGTTGCCAAACATAAGGACGCAATAAGATACTCCAGATAGAAATACTGGAATTTCGTATATTTTTCGTATATTCCGCTCTGACGGAAGTCTTCTGAACTACAATGTATATTTTCTGTTCATTTACGCATAATATCGCGTCCGATGTGCTACAAGACTTTTCCGCATATCTCGAGTATTTGGACAGATAGACCAGTCAATCTCAGATCTATCGATAGGTGGAGGCATGGGCTTTCAAAACACATTTTTTTACATTATTTCAAGCAGTTCTATCCAAAGTTTAACGTTGATGACATTATCGCGTCCATATATGGACGCAATAAATAGAAGGACGCAGTAATAAATGTAAAAGGGCAATGATTGGACGCAATAATGATAGCAGGATGTATATATATATATATATATATATATATAGGTACTAATATAACTCTGTGACTTCCATTGCATTGAACAGGCGGACCGACCTCCACTATTTCTGATCCTATATATGACAACATATTTGCATATTCATCAATAGGGGAATATATATTATCAGGTTTTCTAGAGAGGGGTAAGCATTTCCTATCTTTTATTTTTTCATATATAGCGTACGAAGTGACTTCCAATTCATATATTCAAATTAATCATAGCTAGGCCGTTATAGACTCCGACCTCTGAGACAGATATTTGGTGGTCACATCGATGGTTGAGAGAAATATAATAGTATGAATTATCAAGACAATTGTGTTGATGAACTTTTTGAGAACTCCGCAAATGTATTTATATCTAGTTCAGTACTTCATTAAGTTCGAATACTGAATAAATTAGAACTCATAAATAATATGTTTATTTCTGAATAAGTACAAACATTACAAAGAATTCATTTATGGCTTCGCATCAAATGCTGTAACATTGATTTCACAACTGTAGGATCTCTAGGAAATTCCATTATCTGATCGTTCTCCTCTTCATGAATGATCCGAATTTACTTTTGAGTAAACTAATTTCCTGCGCAGTCCATTCTGAAATGCAACAAGATGATTTCGATAAATTATTCAGAAATTATTGATGCATTTTCTGAATCTTGCAAGAATCAGCATACTGAATGAAGGATAATATACAGAAGAAGACAGAATCATTTGCTGGTCTATGGGTTGTTTCACTTTTAATATGCCAAACTTCAAGAGGTCCGAAATTGCTTCGTTTTCGTTTTACAGGGTGTTGATATTGAAATAATTTATCTTCTTTTTATTATTCGAAATTTATTACGGATTTTCTCTCCTCGTTTCTATAAAATGAAAATATGAATATTATTTCAATATACGTGTAGTAATGGCAAATCAGATGATTAGCCGCAAATTGTCACTGCGTTTAAAGAATTTTCAGAGAGCCTAAAAGGAAAATTCACTAGCTTGTCAGTGACAATTTGTGTTAAAAAAAGTTTGAAGAAGAGAAATAAAATGTTCGTGTGACAATTGGTGACGTTGGCAATCAAATGAGTTACAGGATGTTTTCATAAATTAATCTTGAATTCACCATTTTCATGTTCAGATTTCAGTAGTGAATACCATGTTCTGTCTATATCAACTGAACAAGAAGCAATGCTATTGCCTTCGTTCAGAAGAATGCAAGCAGATTCCTTGATTTTTCTCTTCTGGTTGTTATCTTCTTTTCCAATGATTTCAATATCATTAAGATGGACAATATATGGCAGAGTGGAATAATATTAAAATCATTGGAAACAAGATGACAACCAGAAGAGAAAAATCAAGGAATCTGCTTGCATTCTTCTGAACGGAGACAATTGCATTGCTTTTTGTTCAGTTGATATATAGACAGAACTCACTACTGAAATCCGAACATGAAAATAGTTAATTCAAGATTAATTAATGAAAACATCCTGTAACTCATTTCATTGCCAACGTCACCAATTGTCACTGAGAACTGAGAAGTTTCAAGACAGATACGACTTTGCTATCAAAATGACCATTTTTCATGTTGAAAAAGGAAGCAGATTTGGTCCCGAAACGTCCAAAGATAAGTGAGAATTCGATATTTTTTCTATAAAACTTTATTTCTCTTCTCCAAACTTTTTTCAATACGAATTGTCACTGACAAGCTAGTGAATTTTTCTTTTAGGCTCTCTGATAGGAAAATTCTTTAAACGCAGTGACATTTTGGGGCAAATCATCTGATTTGTCCTTACTACACGTATATTGAAATAATATTCATATTTTTATTTTATGGAAACGAAAAGAGAAAATCCCAAGAAAATTTGGAATAATGAATGTACCACCTCCTCGATTAACCTACAGACAGTATCCAATCTTTTTTTCATGAATATTCCGAAAACCCTCATCCCGATTACCTTGAAACTTGGTTGGAAATCTTTTGAAGTAATTCAATCCGCCTCTCAATCCAGTGGTTTACATATTTGTAATCCATTTTAATACACTATCATTGCAGAATTGAACTGAAACTGTTATCAATCAAGAACTTCTGGATAATACATATCAAGGTTGAACGAAAAATGGATTGTTCGAATAGCAGAATGATGATGAACATAATAAAATTAAGAAAATGCATCTAGTGTGTTTTTCATCAACGATAGAATATTCGAAACATTTACCCAACTTGAATAATGATTCTCGAGAGTGATTCAATAGTTTCATGAAAGATAGTCAAACATATAAACCCCTGGTATAGCGAAATCAAGAAGTTGAAACATTTTCTAAAAGAAAAGCTCCTATTCCAATGTGCTAGAAAGTAAATAATAAATTACTTGGATGTTTGACGTAGGTTATTCTGTGAGATACTATTTCGAAAGCTTGCCGCGCCAAGTTATGTGTTGAGATAGGTACAAAAGCGGCAAGCTTTTGAATATGTTACTCACAGAATAAGCTACGTCACACATTCAAAGCAATTATTTTTCACTTCTTGGAGCATTTCAATATAAAAGCTTGTATGTGAGAAGTATTTTTCTCCGACCCCAAAAACTTCCACATACCAATATTGAATCGAATCGGATCATAATCAGAAATCTCCTCTGTCATCTTGGAGCCGCCATTTTGAATATATGAACTTTGACAACAAATTTATAATTTTCGACCCCGAAAACCCCGCCGACATACTAATTTTGAATTGAATTGGACAATAACCACATATCTCGTCGCCATTTTGAATTCATAATAATTTCATTATATTCGAACTTTGGAGACCCTCAGATACTAATTTCAAATCAAATCGGAATATTATCACAAACCACGCCCGCCATCTTGGAGCGGCAATCTTGGATTTATGAATTCTGACAACAAATTCATAATTAACGACCCCAAATACCCCTACATACTGATTTTGAATCGAATCGGATCATAATCTTAAATCACGTTCGCCATCTTAGAGACGCCATTTTGAATTCATACCTTTTGACAACAAATTCATAATTTTGACCTCTTGAATCTCACACACTAATTTCGAATCCAATTGGACAATAATTACAAATCTTGTCGCCATGTTGGAGCTGCCATTAAGAATTCATGAATTTTGACGATAAATTCATATTTTCGACACCGTACATCCCCAAAGCAATTTTGAATCGAATTGATTCATAATAACAAATCTCTCTGCCACAAATATTATAACCGAATTATTTTTAGTACTGTTCATTCCACTACGTATCCAGAAAAAGCAGCAACATTCCAGCAGGCAAATTTTCACATAATACTTGATAAGCAATCTCTCAGTTTATATGGAGAATTTTCCATTAACGATACAATATTCGAAAAATCGAAATCATTATTCTACACAGAATTCGAATATCCAGGCATGGTGATTAGGATTTGATCATATTGATTGTTGAACGTTCACGAGAAATAATCTGATGAAAGGGAGAATAAAAAATCAATCCAGGGATTTACAGCCTCACTTGTGGGTCGTACCTATGCATCATTTTTCTATGAATGCAAACATTTTCAAAAATCTCTGAATACATCGTTATGAACAATATAACCATGTTCCTAGCCACTGAGTGCTGAAAAAAATATCCATAATAAGCCAGGCCAAAAACCAGGAGATATTAGGTACTCACCTGTTCATGAAGAACCTGTAATTCCAATATCAATGAATTGATTTCAACCTACCTCCTTTCGCATCATATAACGCCTTTGCCATATCTACGATTTTTCTACTCCCCTCCATCTTTCGAAACACTCAAAACTGAACAAGTCAACAAATTGAACAGATCAGTTGTTCGTCAGCGGAGGTCATAAGGTACTGAGACTGAAACTACTTCACCAGAAGCGAAATCAGCGCCCGCGGGAGATATCGGAACTAAAACCATATATTTGGTGATATTCGTGGGTCGAAGTGACCTCCACCGTTAAATTTGAAGATAGACTGGGACAACCATTCTAATTGCTTCTGCTGAAAAAACTACACGATACGTTGTGACCTCCGCTTTCGGAGGTGATAACGTCATATATGAGGTCTTAACGTACACCCAACATACATTTTAGGAGGTCACTTCGTATAGGATATAGGTATATATATATATATATATATATATATATATATATATATATATATATATATATATATATATATATATATATATATATATATATATATATATATATATATATATATATATATATATATATATATATATATATATATATATATATATATATACATTTGGAATCGGAAAAAAGATCTCTATCGATTAGGAATACAAAATACAAGGTGTTCCATTTAAAAAATATCAGTTTAAGTCTATTTTATAGGTTTATGATGCTTTTTCGCATTTTCTTATATACTAGATTCTGAAGGCTCATGAAAAATACCCCATTTTTGCCCATTTGAACGTTTCCATAAGACCAATATTAACTGAGTTAGCAATTAAGTAAAATATAAACAACCACCCTGAAAAAACTTTCAAAATGTTCTCTTCAACTGCCTCGTCATCGTGTTCAAAAACGTGCTGATCGCACTCCTATCTGGCAAGCAGGGTCCCAAGAACTCCAGCCAACCGGGATCCTTGAGGACGGCAGTCTTGTAGTCGTTGAAGGAAATCTTTCCGTCCCTGTCCACGTCCAATTTCTTCAAAATGACGTCGACGAGATCTCTAACCGACTCTTCGGCATCGCTCTCCCCTGCGCTGCTCAGCAAAGAGTATTTGAGGATGTTGAAAATCGCCTCCTTTCCTAAGACGCCTGCCCCTCTGTAGTCGTATACCTACGGAAGCGTAATTGCAACCAAACTTTTTACGTTTTGCTTTTTACTTTTCGTATTCTGATTGGTGAAGCAAAATCTGTAATTAAAATGACGGAAAAAGCTGAATATATTCAGCTTTTTGCGTTGCAAGAAGCAATCGTCTGTTGAAATAGTAAAAATAGACAAATGATATTGTTAGAAAATGGAAAAACTACTATTAGTTCTGTTTCGAATACAACAATACATGTATGGAACATTCTATAGTTGTTCACATTGACTTATTCAATGTATGGAAGTTACCCAGCGAGCACAAACATCCCTGGGATGTTTTGGGATGTTTTGAAAATGTTGGCATGAAGATGTTATTTTGAGACGTAATATGCACTGTCCAAAGATGTCTTTGAAGGATATTGAAGTATTGTTTTTGTTCTTCTGTGGCATTTCTTTGTTTGCCTACTGAGAGGTATCCCTGGGATGTTTTGGGATGTTTTAAAAATGTAGGCATGAGGATGTTTTTTTGAGGCGTAATATGCACTTCCCAAAGAGGTCTTATATATATATTGAAAGTATTGTTTTTGTTCTTTTGTGCCCTTTCTTTGTTTGCCCCACCACAACGTCTCATGCTTCCGTCACAATACGATGAATTCTGATTTGTTTTCGATTTTGTTCTTCTTGTTCGCAATTGGCATTCGCGTTTGCAGCGTGTCACGCTTACATCACGCTGCTAACGAACAGAAAGGAATTTGGTGAAGTGTATTGTGTTAGAAGACTTATTTAGTTTGTAATAATGACCATCAGATGCAAGATGTGTTGTTCGGTGCCTCAGTGTAATCAATATATAAAAGTACGAATTCATCAATACACAGCTTCTCGGCAGTTGCAAAATTATGCATTGTGGAGAACATTTCAAAAATTGGGAAACTTATTTCCAATTATATGTCTGTGTGTAGTAAGCACTACTCAGAAACCGATTAAGAAGGTAATTTCATATCAAGAAAATATTTTTATGTTCAATCTATTTTTAATGCATTTTTTCATTCAAGGGAAATGGAATCCTAATGCAAAAGTTCATTTCGACAAAAGGCTTCAGAAAAGTACCTCGAAAATGTTTTTTTACATCGATTTAATGTGCGCAAGACGCGTTGAAAATGTTCTGTTGTGTCCATGAAAAGGCTTTAAAAAGAACTAGGGAGAAGGTAGTTTTGTGACATATCAAGGACATCTCGATAATTGCCGCCTGCGGCGGACATTGGCTGTTCTATAATAGTTGTATTCATGTGTGAACAGAACATCGCAGTGGAGGTTCAATGTCTCGAAATCTCGTACTTTTAACATCTCTGAGGTTTTTGTGCTCGCTGGGTATGATAATGCTTTTGCTCATGATTTTTTCGTGAATCCACGGAATAGTAGATAGGTACACTGTTCAATTTATTATTTTCTTCTTGAAGGATGATTTTTCTCTCCAAGTATTGATAAGGATCAATTAACGTCACTTTCAGTTCTATGAATATTATCTGAAATACAGTTTCATTACTAGAGAGCTACCTCAGGAACAGACGACAAAAAGTACGACTTCAAGAAGAGTCAAACTATGTGGACCTCAAGTCTGGAGTCCCGCAAGGTTCTATTTTGGGTCCACTGCTTTTCAATATTTACATCACACACATATTGAGGAGTTTAAAATATTGTAAATTTCATTTGTATGTTGATGATACCCAGCTGTATTACTCTTTTCCATACTCTGCGATAGATGATGCTTGTGCCATGATTAATGAAGATCTAGGGTCTTTTATTGATATGGCGAGGGATCACTGTCTCATTATAAATGCAAGCAAATCTAACATAATTGCATTTGGTCCCAAAAAATACCAATCTATTATGAAAAATTCAGTTAATATCATCATAGAAGATACTCCTATGATTATTTTAGATGAAGCAAAGAGTCTTGGTGTTATTATCGACAGTAAGCTCAGATTTGAGAGATCCATTAATAAACTTGTCCAAAGAGCATACTCCACAATTAAGCTCATTTTTAGTATTAGACATTTGCTATCTGTGAAACTCTGTGAAACTGTTCAACTATGCGGATTGCCTTTGCCTTGTCTGCGTCTGTTACATGGTATAAGAAAGAATATCTTATTCTCTATCATAAAATTATCATCACCAAATGTCCCCCCTACCTGTATAATAAATTAAAATTCAGAACTGATGTACATACAATCAATGTACGGTTCAAAGGACTTCTAACGCCGCCTCAATTCAAAACTGAATTTTTCAAACGCTCGTTCAGTTACCAAATTTGCAATGTATACAATAACTATATTTTTCTACCCATATGAAATCCCTAAAATTGTCAAAATCCAAAACCAGTCTTAAGCTAAAGATGAGTGAAAATCAGGTCTGAACAATTTCTAAGACCCTCCTCAGTGAAAAAATCGAATAATATTAAAAGGATGTTGTTTAAGTTAAGTTAGGTCCAATCTGATTTTTGAAACCTTTGAAGGTTGAGTGGAAGAACAAGGCAATAGTACTAATACTATATGAGTTGAACTTCGTCTTTTATTTTCAGTCCATATTATCTACTTATAAAAAATGTATGTCAATATTGTACAGTACTGAAAATAATAAAGCCGTTTATTATTATCATTATTATTATTATTATTATTAATTATCTAATCATCAGTATTATTGTTATGATTATTTCACTTTATTTCAGGATGAAACAAAAATGACGAAATCAAGACAACTGAGAAAAGCCGTAAAGTCACGTTGATTTTTTCTTGTTGTGAATGACATTTGCATAAGTTCAATTCACGTTTAGGCATAGGAAGTTCGCTCAGAAATAATCAGTTTTTTTACTTCATTTTTGAATGTATGTACCTATATTTCTGCAATTTTTGATATTGCTAGGTAGTTTATTGAATTCAGTTAAGACTGAATGAGTGAATCTTTTTTGTCCGAGTAACTCCGAGTATGGAGCTAGCGGTGTCAAGATGAAACAAGTTATATATTGTCTAGTTTCATGATTATGATTATGAATTTCAGAATTCAAAATAATATTCGACTTCAATTTTTTATTTATGATATTATATGGGATTTTAAGAGTTTCAATTCTATATATTTCATCTAAGGAATACGTATGTGTTATTTCATACAATTGATTGGTTGGTATATCAAATGGGAGACGATACAGTAGTTTTAACGATTTTTTATTCAATGTTGATATTTTATTGAGATTATTTTTGAACAAGATATTTTTTATAAAACGTAGGGAGCTCACAGCAAGAAACGGTTTGCGGTGGTGAGCTAGTTTGGGTGAGTTCTATCGAATTATGAAATAAACATTTTTTGATATAAGCCCATTGCCTTCTCGAATATTGACATTCAATTATAAAACACCCTATATACAGTCTGTCCAAGATGAGGTTGAACAGCATGGGGATCTCGAAAACGGTAAGAGATACGAAATCGGTTGAATGGGGAAAAAGTTGCGCATTCGGAGGCTCATATCAAGAGCCTTCGAAAATTTTGAAAATTATTTTTAGTTTTTGAGTTATATCGAAAAAAGTGAATTTTTGGAATTTCTATTTTATTTTGTTTCTCCGTTATTATTAGAGATACAGCAAAACTGGGAATACTTTTTCATAGCAACTTTTGATGACGGTCAACGTGGTGATACCGATTTTTTCATGCGACGTTTTGTATTCGTGGAACCATCATCAACTTTTGTTTTTTCAATACGGTCCTGATAATTTTTTCACAGATTCTAGAAGGTTTTTTTATTCTGAATTCAACCATGTATTATACAAGGTGGTTCATTTGTGTTTCGACCTATTTCCATCCATCATCAATGTTTTTTTCGAAACTCCAAAGGAAAAATGCCATCAGTTCCACTTATTTTGAAGGAAAATTAGTCAACACACTAATACCTCATCAACTGGTTTCAATCAACAACCCATTTCATTTTGCGGAAACAAAAATTCCATCCATACAAATTCAGAATATGTCAAGCGCTAAAACCAGGAGATGACGAAAGGCGCAAGACATCCTGTGAGTGGTATACCAGGAAATGTTAAAATTTTGCAGATTTCTTTCGAACAATCATCTGGACTGATGAAAGCATGGTCACTAATCATGGTAGCTTCGATAGAAAAAATACACATTATTGTTCACGAGAAAATGAACATTTATACATTACAGCGAGACACCAACACCGTTTCGGCTTTAATATGTGGGTTGCAATATTTGGTACACGAATTATTGTTCCTTCTATTTACCATGAAACACAGACTTCCGAACGTTATAGAAATTCGCTTGAGAATCATCTTGAGGAAGCTCTGGATGATTTACCGATTGCGGAAGTTTAGAACTCTGTTGGTTTCAACAAGATGGCGCTTCGGTACATAATTCCAGAGAAGTCCGTGCGTTTTTATCCCTTGGCCGGCGCGGTCGCCTGATTTAACACAGCTGGATTTTTTCTTAGGGGATATATCGAACTTTGTACACGCAAATAACTTTGAGGATGAAGAAGAACTAAGGGACAGTGTCTTCGAAGCATTCAATAGAATAACCCCAGAAATGCTTAGCAATGTCTTAGAAACAACTGTGAGAAGAGGATATCTTTGTTCAGAAAATAATGGTTATCATTTTGAACATTTGTTATGAATGTCTCTGTAGGTATTGTCAAAGTTAAGTTGTTAAAGTAATTCGTGTAAGAATTCATCAACAATTTTAAACGCTGCATTGATCGAATGATGTAGTGAAATATTTTTTATTCACTTTTCAGTATTGAATAACTAATCCATCAAGTTTGACACTAAATGATAAGAAATAAGTGGAACTGATGGCTTTTTTTCTTTTGGAAGTTCGAAAAAACATTGATGATGGATAGAAATAGGTCGAAACACATTCGAATCACCTTGTATAGTACATTGTTGAATTCAGAATGAAAAAACCTTTCAGAATCTGTGAAAAAATTATCAGGACCGTATTTAAAAAACAAAAGTTGATGATGGTTCCATGAATACGAAACGTCGCATAAAAAAATCGGTATCACCACGTTAAACCTCATCAAAAGTTGCAATGAAAAAGTATTTTCAGTTTTTCTGTATCTCTGATAATAACGGAGAAAAAAAAATAGAAATTCCAAAAATTCACTTTTTTCGATATAACTCAAAAACTAAAAATAATTTTCAAAATTTTCGAAGGCTCTTGATATGAGCCTCCGAATGCGCAACTTTTTCCCCATTTAAGCGACTTCGTATCTCCTACCGTTTCCGAGATCCCCATGCTGTTCAACCTTATCTTGGACAGACTGTATACCGAGAAGCAAAACTGGAGTTTTTCTTCTAACGTTCCCCGCAGGAGCAATGACAGCGCATTGATCCACGTCTCTCTGCCGATATAGTCCCTAGCTTTGGTGTCCAAGGCGGTGACCACTATGTTCATGATGCGGTCGTCTGTCATATCCAAAGCCTTATGGAGGACGTCCCTGAATTCTTCCTTGGTGATTCCTTCTGGATCGTAGTCACCGTTCTTCTGGATTTTGTAGTACATGATTATGAGGGCTTCAACTTCGTTGAGTGAGAAGTGGACTTTCTTTGCGATTTGCCTGGCGAAATCTTGATACTTTTTGAGTAATCTAGCTTCTTCCAGAGGATTTAGAGTACTGTCGAACGCTATGCTATTCGACATTGTGAAGAACTATTGATTTCCATTCCCAGATGACTTCGTTCTCGATAAAACGACATCAATGATGGCCTAAAGGTGCATACCCGAGTAGGAAAAAAACTAGCAGATTTTTTCTTTAGATTTGGAAATAGTCATCCATTTGGATATTTTGACAATTCTGACAAAGTGTCGTGCTGATATCCATTTTGGCTTTGTTTTCATGACAACGAACGTCTGTCATGTCCAAAGCCTTATGGAGGACGTCCCTGAATTCTTCCTTGGTGATTCCTTCTGGATCGTAGTCACCGTTCTTCTGGATTTTGTAGTACATGATTATGAGGGCTTCAACTTCGTTGAGTGAGAAGTGGACTTTCTTTGTGATTTGCCTGGCGAAATCTTGATACTTTTTGAGTAATCTAGCTTCTTCCAGAGGATTTAGAGTACTGTCGAACGCTATGCTATTCGACATTGTGAAGAACTATTGATTTCCATTCCCAGATGACTTCGTTCTCGATAAAACGACATCAATGATGGCCTAAAGGTGCATACCCGAGTAGGAAAAAAACTAGCAGATTTTTTCTTTAGATTTGGAAATAGTCATCCATTTGGATATTTTGACAATTCTGACAAAGTGTCGTGCTGATATCCATTTTGGCTTTGTTTTCATGACAACGAACGTCTGTCATGTCCAAAGCCTTATGGAGGACGTCCCTGAATTCTTCCTTGGTGATTCCTTCTGGATCGTAGTCACCGTTCTTCTGGATTTTGTAGTACATGATTATGAGGGCTTCTACTTCGTTGAGTGAGAAGTGGACTTTCTTTGTGATTTGCCTGGCGAAATCTTGATACTTTTTGAGTAATCTGGCTTCTTCCAGAGGATTTAGAGTACTGTCGAACGCTATGCTATTCGACATTGTGAAGAACTATTGATTTCCATTCCCAGATGACTTCGTTCTCGATAAAACGACATCAATGATGGCCTAAAGGTGCATACCCGAGTAGGAAAAAAACTAGCAGATTTTTTCTTTAGATTTGGAAATAGTCATCCATTTGGATATTTTGACAATTCTGACAAAGTGTCGTGCTGATATCCATTTTGGCTTTGTTTTCATGACAACGAACGTTTAGTGGTGCGCATTAAATGTGTGTGCATTGTACTAGAGTCCCTGTATATACCTTAGACAAGAGTCCGGACACAGCTATACTTCTATCCTTTTCTGTTTTCAAAAAATGCATTGATGATTGAATAAAGGAATAAGACATATATATCGAGCTCTGTCTTTCCAATTCCCCTAGTATCAATGATTGTCAGAAACCATTTTAAGGGTTAGATTATTTGTCAAACCGTTCATAGCCGTAGGTAGAAGTGAGAAATAGGGCTATTTTAACTAGAATAACTATTAGATTTTCAAATAATGAACAACAGGGTGTTCAAATTTCGAATCGATAATTTTCGTAATAAATTCCTGAGATGGCTATTGCAAATTTTCGTCATCAGATATTTCTTTCCTTCATTAGATATAAGATAGATAATTCAAGTGTTCTACGTGGTATCACATATAGCCAAGAAAATATAGTTGTTTTCTGTTGAGATATACAAAAATAGAAGATATATAATTCTTTCAATATAATTTTAATTGTGTCGGTTTCCCACGTCTTCCTGCAGTCTACATTCACCAGTAAATTTTATAATTTGATCTGAATTAAAAACACCGTGGACTGATGACATAGCACATTGCAATTTCCCCCCAAATCTTCTAGTTTTGATTTCAAACTTTCAATTTCTCTCCGCATCATCTCATTCTCATTTTCTTTCTCTGCAATCGTATCATTCAGTAATTCCCAATACGATGACGACGGAACTCTTTTTTTGAAGAGATTGACGGCACAGCAGACTCTTTCAATTTGAAATCCATCAGCTTGAAATAATCTCTATCAAAATGGGCCTAAAATTCATCTTTTTTGTACTGTTTTTACAAGTGAATTCGAATATTTACCTCACATATTGCGGATTTCTTGAAATTAATTTTCCATTCTGGACGTTTCATTGCATTCTTTCATGACATTATCTTTAAAGGATCATTCAGAAAATTGAATTACTCGAATCCCTTTTTTATCGCAATAATGTACGCAGCAGGACATTGAAATAATTTAAAATGCAAAATTTTGGCGGTCATAAAATTTCAAAGTGACAGTGACAGAAATTCGAAATAAAAAAAATAAGTGGGCGAGACGACTATGGTGTTTCGTCACATTGTCAGGTGGGCAAACCAAATGAAACAAAATATTAAAAACCCCAACGGCTGTCAGTTTTGTGTCCGGACTCTTGTCTAAAGTATATACAGGGACTCTACATTGTACGACCTGAATCGAGACCTGAATGCAGCTTGCCTCGTTTTGATCGACTACTTTGAATAACATAATAAGACCCTAATCTGTGTAGCCAAATTGTTGAATACATGAATATTTTTTTTCATTATGAATATGCCACAACTTTTACCATTTCTACGAATAGTGCAAGCATATTTTTTCGTTGTGCGTCCAATGGTGATATATGAAGTCAACAATACATTTTTCTCCGTGTATACGGAAGGTAATGAATTTTATCTACAACTATGGTGTCATTCATACATTGCTAACTCGATTTTCAACATTTAATGACATACATTATCGTGAAGAATCGAGTAATAAGACTAATAATGACAGTAGGATGGCGTAATAATCTGACATCCCATCGTCTTGGCAAATTCAACCACTCGTTCTACTAGTTCTACTAAAGCACACAACTATACAATACACGCAAATTCAAAAGACTCACCTTACATGTTTCTCATAGCTTTAATCATCTTAATTCTAAAATACACGGAAAAATGAGAATTCACTTTTCTTCATTCTCAACAGTGACTACCATCATGAGTAATCATAACCATAAAATAGGACTTGACTGACTTGACACTTGACAGTTGCAGATTGGCTCACACTTATGTGCGGGCTATTCGAATAAATTAGTACCAATCAGAACCAATCAGAAACTTCATTGTTGATAACTAGCGTCTAGAGACAGGTTACTACAATTAATCATCGCGGTGCGGGAATGCTACAGCGGAAGCAAGTTAATGAATAATCTGCAATAGTATGATTCATTTTACAACTGAAAAGTGGAATGGCATATAATACCTTCGTCATTTCCAAAGATATATCTCTGAACTCTCAGAGTTGCTTTGATATTTGAATAGTTGTAGAATAAAGTATAGTATTCTACTCGAACATAATGACTATTACCCACTCAGATGATTACAGCACTCGCCTTCGGCTCGTACTGCAACTTTCATCTTCATGGGTGATAGCCATCATTATGCGCTCGTTGAATAATATACTATTGTTCCATCGATCATCAAAGCCATAAGCATCAAAGCTTTCGTATCTATAGTTTAGTGATCTGTGTTCATATAGTTCATCTGTGCAGTGATGGCTCGTGCCCTATGGCTTACCAGATCATACTAGGTACCTCTCTTACGGTCGCCATGACTATTTTAATTTTTTCTGCTAAATCTGAAGCCCTTATGCCCTGAATTAACTATTTTCAACCACTTCAACACACGACACACCAAACGTAAAAAGCACCACAATGACCAATAACAAGCCACCCCACTCTTTCCTGGTCGGCCAGCCGTACCTCCGTGTATCGTCAAGTGTCCTTAAAAGGTTTCCCGCGTTTTTGAAAATAAATAATATTCTTGAAGTTCCGTACATATTCATCACCAGAGATTTTTTACGATGATTCAATACAATTGGGACTGCAGAAATTGGTTTTGCCCTATTATCAGGCATATTACATACAATATTCAAGATATACTCGAATTATTGCCGTTCAGAAGCGCTGAACGTTTAGGAATTACTGAGAAATTGCAAATTCGAAAAACATCAATTATTAACGGGTTAGTCTCCAAGTCTCTGTACCGATTTCAATCCCTGTTTTCTAACACATGCATTTTATTTTCTGTGTTGATTATTTTGACAAATAATGTCAAATGTCATTAATGTCAGTGACAAGTTGACCAGGGGCTACTGGGTGAAATATAGTCGACGGAAAAATGTTGTAACCAACTCGTATATTAAAAGGCGATTAATGATCTCGCTTTGCTCGCAAGTTAAAATATTTCGATCATTAATCGCCATCATTAATACACTAGTTGGTTAAATAACTATTGTAATACGATATTAAAATCCAGTGGCGTCGTCCTATCCACTGGGCATGTCTTATTAGTTCAATAAACTTCGTTTTCAAATTGTTCAAATAGATATATATACAAGATGACAGTATTTAGAGCATATCCATTCATTCGTTTATTCTGTTTAATTTGAGAAATTTTCATTTTCCAATGTTTAAAACTTCAAAAATCTCCATTCACAAAACATTTATGACCAATTTTGTTACTAAGCCGACTTACAAGAGAAAGTTGTTCCAAATGTATTTCAAAAGTATCATTACCTACTATTCTTGAACTGATTTCTTTGAAATTCAATATACTTATTTGAAGTGATAATGAGCTCATTCAGTCCTAACTAGCTCCAGTGTCGTCTCAGTGAGCACCACAGCCAATGAAATTGAGAAAAAAGTATGCCAAGTATTTCATGTGTTTTCTACACAATATGTAGCTTTACTTCCCAGAAAAAAACTTTATTGCATATGAATATGACGAACCATCCCCTCTAAAGTTTCGTATCATAGTTAGGAAACACCCTGTATATAATGACTGTAACGCTATCCTGAAATATATTATTTTAGTTTAATGATTCGTGTGCCGTACAAATTCATTAAATCCATATTTATTTGTCTTTCTCATGATTCAGGTTTCCAGAAAAATGAGATCATCTGTGGCAATAAACGGTTTGATATCATAAACAGAAGCAGTAATTCATCGTTCAACATAGATTTGCGTTTTTCAATTTGTTCACTTATTGCTACAATATTTTCGTCGGGATTGAGATGAACAGATGTGAACTAATTTACTTGACTGTTACTTAGTTCAATTTAACCTCAGTTAACCTAAACGCATTTTAATACGCATTCTCATTTCCACCCACACAAGTGCACATAAGAACACGATAGCATAGCAAAATATCTGAATTACACAACTTGTACACAATGATAATAATTGGTGGTATCGAAAAGTATGGCAAAATATATTTCATGGTTGAAAGTACAAGGACAAGTTAGGTAATTAAACATATTGATTTGTCATGCAATAATTTATAACCACGTTTCATGAGTAGGTATATGGCCATTGTCACGTGTTATACTTCATCAACTCAAATATCGATTATAAAGTCATAATATAAGTAATTAGTATGACTAAAATTAGTCGTTGGGGACGGCGTGAGGAGATCCCCTAATCCGTATGTATTATGGTGGACCGAATTCAATGGTATTTGTGGTTTTATCTAACACTGGTAGATGACAAAATCATATAAGATATGTTCTATGACCATATTTCTAGGAGAATAAAATAATGTGGTTCAGTGGCGTAACTCCCAAATTTTTGCTCAGAGGCAAATAATTCATGAACGAGCAGTTCAACTGCTCGCTTTTGCCACATTGTGTTTAGAAGTTGAGGATGAAAGAGTAGCTTCTGTTTCTCCCTGTGTAATTATTAAGTGATCAGCATTTCTTGAGAACTATAATTCCCGAGATAATTCCGGTTGGTTCAAGAATCAGAGAATTCTGATCAACCTGTATCTGTCCCAATTAAATGTCACTAGATAGAAAATCAAAAGTTAAGATAGGGACATGTGAGCCGGTTTGACCAATAATGAATAGTTTCAACACAACAAAATCCTTAGGTTGAAAAATCTCGATTTTGATCACCCTATATCTCTGTAATCATTCCCGCTAGACCTCAAGTGTAATACATCATTGAATTGAGAAAAAAAATTAAAATATACAATGCCATTTGAAAAAAAAAGTTGACAATCGGTGTCGTTATAGTTGTAATAGGAAAAAGAAATTGTAAGTGTCACTTTGTAGTATCTCATGCGTCATTTCATTAGCTTCTTTGTTTTTTAAAATCGTACAATAAATAGCGGCGCTATGGCTCGGGGCGTTTTATGTCAGTCATCCTGTATTATTGGTCCACTGAAGTTAGGATTTTGATACGGATTAATCCATACAAAAGGCTTTAGTGTGTTTCGGGTATAGTTCTTCAAAAGTCCCACACAAAATGAAAGATGAAATGATTTCACACTAAAAAGTCCCATAAAATTTTTTTGTTCGAGCAATATTTTTCATGATGAATGCCTTTTGAAAAAATGAAAAAAATTGTTATGTACCAATGACGAAACACTGTATTATGACCGAGGCCTTAGCCGAGGCTTGCAATCAGGCGAGACAATAGACATTTTTTCGCCGAGGTGCATATCACATTTTTTCGTCGACCTCATTCAGAATTCAAGAAAATCTACCGGATTAATCTCATCCAATCCTGGAATTTTGGTGTCATCCTCGGTTTTTTCTTCCGATCGATCATCTTCAATCGGCCCTGTATTTGAACAAGATAATAATGGCCCACAACCATTTGAACAATTACAAAAAATCATGTGTGAAAGACAACAGGTTCGGGTGGTTGAGTTGACGTCTTCGGCCACAGCAGGTTTTCTCTCAATAGGGGACTCGTAGGGGACTTTTGAAGAACTAATAATGACACCAATATATACCCGAAAACACACTAAAATCTTTTGTATGAATTATTCCGCTCTTTTGCATTGTTTTCGACTGATTGCAGTGTACTATGTATACGCCTCACTCTTACTCATGTTTCCAAACATAAAGTGACATGAGACGATGTCTTGAATGAGATTTTGAAATCATTTCGGTATTGAAAAACTACGTGTCTTTGAAAACAAGTTCGTGATGAGAACTTTTCAATACTATCTTTTAAGGCTTGGAACTTGGTTGAATGCTCAAATATAAAAATAAAACCGACTGTTGTTGTAAAATTGCTCCGATATGTATTTTCAGCAACTTTCTATCTTTAATGATCTAAAAGTGCATAAAAGATTCAATACTCACCATTTATAAAGGAGATGGCACGCTGTCGTTAATATCGAAATTCGCTCAATGATATTTTTTTTATTTCAGGCTAAAGCAGTGGGTCGAGTCTTGTTTGAACAAGTATGCAAGCAATTACATCTATTGGAGGCAGATTATTTTGGGCTGGAATACTCAGATGACCATGGGACGAGGGTAATTATTACATGAATTCATTTAAATCAAACAAAATGTCGACCAATATTCGAGAGAAAAAATATGTTGCTCTCTTCTAAGGGTAATCACATGGCCATGACAATTCATTCGCTCATGATTATTTCGAAAATTATCCCTCTTCTTCCACTCGGAATAATCTCCAAAATATCCATGAGCTCGAAAAAATTCCCGGAAATATTTTGACGTCTAGTGGTATTACAAGTGGAAATTCCATATTTTGCGAATCGCATTTTGCGGAATTCGTACAAGCATGAACTTACTTGAGGTTAACAAATGAATGAACAGACAACATCAAACATCACCTTCTAGGCTACGTTCAGCGGCATGTCGGACCATAGTCAATTCGTTCACCGATAAAACATTGCACCAAAATGTAAAACATGTGATTAATGGTTCTGAATGAGAGTAAGATTGTTCATTTTGGTACAAAATAAATATGCCTCCAATCAATCAATCCAATCTATATCAACTAACTTATCCTCAGTAACAGAAATGGATCTGATAATGACAAAGATATAGGTGACCTTCCTCAACAGTATTGATGAAACTGTCACCAGGGCTGATAATTATTGTTGTGAACATGCCAATCTAGTGAGATTTCAGTAGCAAATGAATTTTCATACTTTACAGGTATAATAAATATAATACAACTACAACACCTAATTCCGTTTTATTCCATCATAATCTAGAATATGATAAACACTATGAATAATTTAAAGCTTAATTTCATTCATTCTTAATATCATAGATATTTACAAATTCTTCATCAAAATCGATGCAGTTGTGAAAAGGAGCATAGTAATACAACATAGGTACACAATCAATATATTAGGTACTTTGCTATTCAGATTCTTGATAGTAATGATAAATCTTCTAAAATGTTGTTCTTTTGCTCCGTTATGAAAATGTATGTGGGGCATATAATGGGTGACCTGGGAAACAAATAACATAAATTATTCATGAAAGTAAGAAATTATATCAGACTCACAATTCACAAAGTGTTCAAATTTCTAATTTTCATCCACATCATTATTATTTTTGTAGGAAAATACAACAGTTTCTTCAATCCTTGTCTTCATTGATTGAAGCTATAGTTGTAGGCTATCCTTCATACATTGCCAGCTTTACAAGAACAAACACAATCATGTCCAATCTTTCGCTGGGCTTCAATTTCAGAGCAGCAGAAGTTTTTAGAACCTGCCCAATGACCTCAAGTTTCTGTTTCTGAACACTTTTCACTTAACACAAATAACATTTCCAGGATGGTTCAACATCCACAACCGGCCGATATCTATTATCAATATATTTGAGAATGTCCAACGAACCTGCCCAATGACCTCAAGTTTCTGTTTCTGAACACTTTTCACTTAACACAAATAACATTTCCAGGATGGTTCAACATCCACAACCGGCCGATATCTATTATCAATATATTTGAGAATGTCCAACGAATTGATTTCAACAAGCACCATCGTTCAAAAATCACTCTAACCACTAAAATTTCGAAATAAATAGTTATTTATTATACAAGGGAAAAAAGTAGTAGATTTTAGCTCCAGGTTGTGTTGTCTCCCGACGCGTAGCGAAAGGGAGACAAAAAACCGTGAGCTAAAATCTATTATTTTTCCCGTGTATAATACACTATTTTTTTCTGTGACAGAAGAAAGGACGAATCAAGATTGAGAGGTTATTACATTATTTTGAAATCTGAAGATTATCGACGTGAAATTTTAAGTTTTTAACAGTAGGGACACCTGCGTTGTAGGCATCTTTATCAAATCCTTAATCAAATATCTGATGTCACTTCTGTCAGTCTAATTCTGTGATTTGATTTCAAAAAATAGCGAATATAGTGGTTGTTTAGTTAATATACGTAACAGCGAAGTCGAATGGAAGATAAAAGGACTTGCAGTTCTTTCTCGGAGACGGTATTATTGACTCATTTTCCGGAACTATAGCACAACAAAAGCCATCAACAGTGTATATATATGTGGTATATATCCGGGAAAGAAGTACTCACTTTTTTCCCACCGGAAAAAAGTAATTTATGAAAAGTGACATTTTATAACCTGGCAACAGAGATGGAATGCCAAACTTTTTTCCCGTCACAGAAAAAAATGAAATTATCACATCAAATGGCATGACAACTTTGACAGATACTATATACAAATACAAATGAATGGACCGATGTCGTTCAGAACTCCTATGCTTGTTGTGGTCCAGACCTGCCGCTGAACGTAGCTCTAGTCTCCATTCAGATCGATAATGCTCCAAGCACCAAGCTCACTCTCGTTCAATTTTCTAGTACTGGCTGGATCTCCAGAAGCCCGTCTCGCGGCAGCTCGGCCTCTCACTCGTCGACCCGCTGCTCAGCTTCTGCGTCAAGTTCTACACGCCCGACCCGGCCCAACTCGAGGAGGAGTACACGCGCTACCTCTTCTGTCTGCAGGTAGGATTGGGAAAATCTCACTTTCAACCATGATTATCTATCTACAATAACAAGATGATCCACCTTCATGTTAAATCAACTAGGAAAAAGCCAAATACTCAAAGTGGAATGCTATGGTTACAAATAGAGAGAAACTCAAAGTTTACACCTCGACCAAAATCTGTCTATTTTCTCGTCAGATACCTCTGCTATGAATTTGCAGATTTGTTTCGTCCTTGGTACATAAATAACTATTTTGACATCCCTTCATAAAATTATGGTGAGAAAGGGAAAATTTTACGATACTGGAAAGGGGTTTATTGAAGTAAATTCGCATAGGTCGCGTGCACGATGACCGACCCTGGAGGTAAAATATTGAAACACAACCTCACTTTTTTTATTCGTTTACAGAGGAATCAGAGGATTGAAGTAGTTTTCCACAATATTTTGGCATACAAATCGTGTTTTTGCGCTATTCATTGATTCAAGCATGCCTTCGCATTGTACTGTTATAAAATGCATAAAATATGCAGCCAGAGACGAAGGAATATGATTCTTCAGATGAATAGTAATCTCACATAGTTTTCATTATAAAATTTTGTCATTTCCTATTAAAATTCCTTCTGCCACTTCTGCAATAGAAGCTAATACTGCTAAAAGATTGAAAATGTCTACAACACACATGATCATATTTCATCAGCATGTCAGACCAGTCCTTCCGTTTGATTGCATGTATCCAATCTTCTTGCATAATTTTAGAAATTTCTCGAGTATTTCTATTAGTTCCAATTGCAGAAGGAAATCCGATGAGAAATCAGAGAAATTATCAAATTTCAAAAATGAAAACTATGTGAGTGACTATAGTAGGTACTCACTTTTAAATAATAATGTACCAACAGGATTCTTTCGTCTCCAGCTGCATTTTTTGTGCATTGTAGAACAGCACAATGTTATGGCATGCGTGAATTAATGAATAGTCAAAAAACACGATTCGTATACCAAATAATTGTGAAAAACTATTTCAATCACTTGTGAACAAATAAGAAAAGTGAGGTTGTGTTTCAATGTGTCACCTTCAGGGTCGGTCATCTGACAGTTCTTGCACGCAATCCATTCGGAAATGTGAATTGTCCCAATTGTGGTTGCAGGTGAAGCGAGACCTGTCGCAAGGCCTGATGCAGTGCAACGAGAACACGGCCGCCCTCATGGCCAGCTACATCGTTCAGGCGGAGTGCGGCGACTTCGTGGCCGACGACTATCCCGATCACACGTACCTGTCCAGCTACAAGTTCGTGCCGCAGCAGGATCCCGACATGGAGAGGAAGATCATGGAGAATCACAAGAAACATTCGTGAGTCGACATTTATTTTTTCTACAACCGTGCGTGATTCACCCTATACCCGCACGCAGTTTAGTTTGGGAAGTATCATTTTCCCGCAACATTGCGGGAAAATTTTCCCACACTAGTGCGGGAAACTTTTTCTAGTGTCTGAAACCTAGAGACCAAACACCTTATGGGCCTGCTGGCTTCCGCAATGAACCTATACATAATGCGTCAAACTGTATGTTCACAATAGCTATTGTTTTGTCTCTCCGCTACGCGTCGGGAGACAACACAACCTGGAGCTAAAATCTACTACTTTTTTCCCTTGTATAATAAATAACTATATTTATTACTAGCAGACCTCGCAAACGGTGTTTTGCCATGTACATTATTCCTATAATATATTTTTTCCGATCAATATTCATCAAGACACTATTATTTTTTATTTTCAACTTCTTTTTAGTTTCACTATCTATGATAGCGTGTTTATTTATTTTTCCAAAGTACAATTTATTTCAACTTCTTTTTTGTTCACTTGAATTTCCCAATTTTGACGAAAGCATCAATATCCGACTCCTAAAACCCCAGATGATAATTTTGAATAGAATCGGAACATAATTACAAAACTTGTCTGCAATTGGATCTACCATCTTGAATTCCCTAATTTTGACGAAGGAATTATAATTTTTGATCCCGAAAACGCCCACTTACAAATTTTGATCCAACGTCTTGGTTTCCAAATCCCGTCCTTTCCAAATTTCGACAGAAGAATCAGATTCTCTGACCCCGAAAACACCCAGATAACCATTTTGAAGGGAGTCGGATCATAATTACAATACTCGTCCGCCATATTGGGTCCGTCATCTTGAATTTCCTAATTTTGACGAAAGAATCATAATCTCCGACCCCGAGAACCACCAGATACCAAATTTGAATAAAATCGAATCCTAATGACAAAATCCGCCATTTTGGATCCGCCATCTTGAATTTCCTAATTTTGACGAAGGAATCATAATGCCCGATCACGAAAACCCCTAGGTAACAATTTTTAAAAGGATCGGATTATAATTACAAGACTCGTCCGCCATATTAGATCCGTCATCGAATTTCCTAATGGTACCGGGATAAAAAGTATTCTATTACCTTCTCCTGGTTCTAAGCACCCACCAATTTTCAAATCGATAGTTTCTGAACCTATACAATACATACAAACAAACAAACAATCAAATATTTTCTCTTTATAATATTGGTATAGACAACTTTGGGATACAAACTTGTTCAAAACCCAAAAAAGGATCCGCTGATACAATATTTCACATGACGGCTCGTCGAAATCTTATAATGTAATCTACACTTAACCCATCGTCGTCCAGAGGAGGAGGGCACATAATTGTCCAGAAAATTTTCGTTAAAAACAGGCATTAGCCTTCAAGGCTACCGCCAACTGGTGGGGCTGAAAATGTCAGCCCTCATTGTAATGGAGTCTTACAGTTGTACACCCTAGTCGAATCAATCACATAACCTGCTTTAAATGTATATTTCCATTTCCATGTACAATTAGTATCTTTCAAAAACGCTAGATCTTGATAACATGAAACACCGATAAGCACCAATATTCTCAACAACCAATGAGAACAAGAAGTCACCTCCACCCTATTGAGGAAAAAACGTCTTCAGGTTGTACTATTTGAAAGGGCATAGCTTGGAAGCATTCGCAAATATTTATAGGAACTTTTTTCCATGAAAATACCCCAGGAATCACCCCACGGATTTTTTCCAATGAAAAAGAACACCTTGTTGATGCGGAAAAAGCGTGTGCAGTATGACCACAATCCATTTATTTATATTAGATATGTTTGGTGAATTGAGCACAAAGTTCAAAGAAAAATCACCGGTCCACCTGTAGCCAAGGGGGGGGGGCGTCATGACAAACATGACCCCCCTTGTCAAAGTACATCTGGGAATATCAGGAATTATCTGGATATAAACATTCCAACTATGTGGAAATGCTCCTAGTTGCTTTATTACCATCTGGATTGCATTTCCTACATACATGTAGTCGATTTGTTTGTGTGCATGAGAGGAAAGCCTTATTAATTTACACCAAAGGAGTTCCAGTGTGAGACATGTGTCTACATCACTTCACATCTTGTACTTTCTACCTCGTAGTTAGACATCACAGAGCGCAGTTGCCGAGTTACCAACGGATATTTACCTAATGTTTGTTCACATTGGACGTGGTTAGGCTGACTTTGCAAGGTTTGCGTTATATATTAACAACTTACGTCATTAACATCAATATCGGTTGGCAAAATAATAAATAGCATTGCAAATAAATCCTTCCTGTGATTCTACTTTTCTTTATCTCACTAGGGAGGATAGAAAAAGAATGTTTGCATTGGATGTTGAACTTTTGGAGGTTATGAGGTTACAAAAAACAAAATAAGGGTATGCGAATTTATATTATTTGGAAGTCGAATTTATAATAGCTTGAGACATATTATTATGATGATCCTCTACCTCAAATCTGTCAAACTTCCTAATTTCAAAATGACTGAAAACTGATCATTTCTTTGCAGGGGACAATCTCCTGCTGAAGCTGACCTCAATCTACTTGAAACTGCAAGAAGATGTGAACTATACGGTGTGAAAATACACCCAGCAAAAGATCATGAAAATGTTCCATTGAATTTAGCTGTAGCACATATGGGTATAATAGTCTTCCAGAATTATACCAAAATTAACACATTCTCGTGGGCAAAAATAAGAAAAATATCGTTCAAACGGAAACGGTTTCTCATCAAATTACACCCAGAAGGATATGTAAGTAAAAGTTACAGGTGCAAACATCAAATATTCCTCCTTGAATTATATGTTTTTTTCTCATGAAACAAATTGTATTCTTGCTAAAAGTTTATTTTGTTTCGGACCCTAAGCTCAAGTATCTAATAATCAGAAAGTACCCAATACTTCACATCAAAAATATCATATCCTATAAGTTCTTACTTTGTTTTCTCATATAACTTGATATAACATATATAGGTCAATTGATTTATCACCAGTCACATGTTTTTTGTAATTCAACAAGTGAAATGAGCTCTTACTAATTTAATGGAACCTATAATACATTCCGATCGGAAGTAAACTGAACTAACGTGATATTTTTCTAGGGATACTATAAAGATACTGTGGAATTTTTCTTCGAAGGCCGGAATGAATGTAAAAACTTTTGGAAGAAATGCGTGGAAAATCATGGATTCTTCAGATGTTCTTCTGTGAAACATGTATCCAGACACAAAACAAGAGTTTTGTCCAGAGGAAGTTCATTTAGGTAATGTATTTCTGTGCTGTACTAAACTAACCTGAGTCAACATTTTCACAATCGATCTATCTAAATCACACCCAAACACCTATTTTGTCTCTCTGCCTGTTATGATGTATGAAGTACAGTCAGATGCAATGAACATCTTGCACATGGCCGGTGTACCGTAAGTGGCGCCCTCTACAAGTGACATCAAAACTAAGAACGGATTTGAATTTCTCACCTCAGAAAACCCCCTAATATCAAATTTCGTGTTGTTTTGTCACCCTGTTGGAGAATTGTTGGGAAAAACGAAATGCAAATCGAAACTTTGACACCCTGTATCTTTGTTACTATCAACTTTTGGACATAGGCAAGTTTGGCTGAATCTTAATATTTGTATTCTGCAGTTTTCCTGTGTACCATTAATTAACGGACACCCTGTATAGATCTTCCTACTTATACCTGAACATAGTACAGGGTGATGGACTGATTTCAACACTCAATACAAAATTTTTATTCCTTATTTCTGTCCATAAAATCATTTAATTAAAACCAAGTTTACTACAGTTGAAGTAATTATTTTTCAACAATTTCTGGTTTCAGTTCAGCCATAGCATGTTCTCATATGAACTGAAAGGAAATTGAAAAGTATATGTTTTTGGAAATCAGAATAGCCCTCAAGATATATTTGTTTTTAGAAAGTGATATATCTTATGCAGAAAAATACAAAAACTCCAGTTAGTTTCTTCCCAATATGTTTTTTCAGAAATATGAAGTTATCTATTTTGTTTCTTTGATTTCAGGTATAGTGGGAAGACACAAAAACAAATTGTGGAATTCGTCAGGGATAATTACGTGAAACGTCAAACATTCCAAAGGTGAGTAAGCATTTTGTTGCATGTGGCTTATCATCAATTTTATTATCACACATGAATAGATATACCAAAATACATGAAATGACACACACCTACACTTTCTGCTTGAATTAAGTAGAAGTAAATGCGGATTTATGCATAGCTTACTTTGGATACCAACCTTTTGAACCCCAGCAAAAATTCCTGAGACTAAAATAACTAGTAGCTAATTTGTGACGTGTGGAGCATGGTTGTATGTAGCATTTGAAATTGGATAATGCTGCTTTCCGACGGTCAAGGGAAGGAGGAAAATCCCATTATTCAAAACTATTCATTCTATATATTCTTCAATTTTTGTTTCCATCGATGTGAAATGTCAAAAATTCCACTGTTCAATTATTCTAAGCACTGCATGAATGAATGTCGGTGTCGAAATGTTCATTCTACTTTGAAATTCAAAGGTCAATCGACTTCTGTGCTCCATAAGGTATCACAAAGAGGCTTAACTTAGTTATGTTTAGAGATACTAACTGCTGAGTGTGTAGAATGTAAATGTGATTCCTCTTTCTCTTACTGCAGGTCGCAATCTTTCCGACACTCTAGCGCTCATTCGAGCGCTTCCAACATGCATTCTTCTACCGTCGGGAACAGCATATCCGCACATCCCTTGTTGCCTCTTGCTGACAGCAATTTGAGTGGTATGTACTATTTCAGCGTTTGCTTTACTCTAGGGCTATATTCCGAATTCAACTGGTCAGTACTGTCAGTAGATCCAATGAATCTGCTGAAAATCTGTATTCCGAAATATAAAATCTAAAATACAGTGCTGTAATTCGGGACACGTTCTCATGGTTTTGATCAGTAGTCAGCAGCAGTTGATCAGCTGGTGGAATTTGTCAGCCTGTAGCTTCTCGTTTATCTGGACAAGATATTATTTATTATTTCATATTCAACATGGAAGAGCAATCGATTCTTGTAGCCTCCATAGTTTCTACGATTATTGACGGTGCCGATTCAGGCTCGAGTGATAAAGAATACTTGGACATTATGTTGCCATTAATTTTTCATGATGCACCAGATTGAGAATTGGAAGATTTATAGAAAACATAATGATGATGAATTTAGGAGACATTTAAGGTTCATTTAGTTATTTGAGAGAATTGAAAGATTTATAGAAAACGTAATGGTGATGAATTAAGGAGACATTTAAGATTTATTCAGTTATTTATTTAGATAATGATGCTTCCTCTTTTGTTACCTCTACTACTTCATACTCAATATTATTCTCAGGGCTTATTATTTCAATACCAGGTATTTTCTGATATTGAGAATAATATAATTAACAATGGAAATGAATGTTACATTCCTTCCCCCTCTAAAATAATGCTCAGCAATTTCAGCAGAATGTTGAGTCGAAATATTTGGAATGAATAGTATGTCTGCTCACAAGCATCTGTCATTTTCAGTGAATTTTTTGATTTCGGAATGGAAAATCAGCAGATTCAGTAGTGTCCGTTGAATTCGGAATATAGCCCTTAGATTTCCTAAATGTATTTGACAGTAACACTCTTCTTCTTCTGACGTTTTTGTATATTAGATGGATAGATAGCAGGATGAACAGAAGATGGTGTAGAAACTCCTATCAAATCTCATCTACTGTTTTTCGGTTCTTGACCTACGGCCTACTTGACACAAGGATTCATTTCTATATCGCGGTCGCATTTTACTCGTTAGAACGTTCACAACCACAATGCAAAACTTACAAACGGCTCAAAATACCTTAATCAAAATAATATTTAAAAAAGACAGAAAGTTTTCAACTACACTACTGTACGAGGAAACCAACTTGTTCAAAATCAGACAATCGTCTATCAGTTTCTCCAAAAAATTTTTTCTGAGCAGGATAAATATCCAAAATTAACCTCCACCACAAGATCAGCTACAGGGCAGAATATACAAATAAACGTATTTAGAAAAACTCTCACAAAAAAAACCTATTTTTACTATGGACCCAAGCTATTCAACTCACTGCCCGTTAACATAAAACAAATTTCCAAAAAACCTAAATTCAAAGAAGAAATAAAAAAATTGCTCTTACCGTGCCCTGAGAAATTTGATATATTTCATTAATACCTGCTTGATTGTTCTCATCTTAATTACTATTATTACTACCACCGCAAATCGTAAAAAAACTGCCATAATTAATCAACACCATAAATTCCATTTCTTTTCCTGCCATTCATCCACTCTTAATTGAGAAAAAATTGAAATAAAGCTCAATTTCCTAAATGTAAATGGTCCTGCTGAAGGACTTCAACAATACAGGTACTCGTACCTAGGTTGTATCCTCCCAGCAGAATCATCACTTGAAAAAAAAATGTAATTAACTGTTGCTTATACATTGAACTTGATTATGCAATTATGTGTAAAAAAAAAGGTATGTATGGGTGAAGGAATAAATTTTGATTTGATTTTGAGATGGCGAAATCTCAACCAAAATTCAAGGTTCACTGAAGATAATTGAAATTCGCCAAAATTACAGTTCCGTACTTTCAAATTTAATCGCATTTTATTTGAGGTTATGTTATGAATGTTATGATATCATTATTTCTAGTGCAAGCGGTGTGTAAGCGCCATTTTCTGTTTTCTGTCATGAAATAAATCTGTAAAAAGTGTCGCCATCTTGCGGACAACTGAGAACTTATATGCCATTTTTGCGGTATCTGCGGTCAAGCGATTTGGGAGAAACAAAACACTGTGTGATTACACCATATTCTATCCACCTTGATAGATAGATAGTATATTACCGTTTTGGCCAGTATACAATGATCGGTTTGTCATACAAACAATAATTGCATTGAAATGTCAATGGTATACAAGAAAAAATAACTATAACCAAGCATATGGTAAACATTTGTTGAACAAATAAAATTAAGTGATTTATTATCTCCATTAGATAGGGTGCCAGTTCATGCTTACATTCTTTTATGAGAGATATTGGAGCTTCATCGACATTGACGGCGTTTTTGTTTTTCAATTTTGATATTATTCAAGTTCAATTTCATGAGTAGTGATCTCTTGGAAGAACATTGATGTTTGCATATTTTTTGATATAGTTCATGGTATAGTAAATATCATCCACAATTTTTTTTTGCAGCTGTCACGAAATAGTTAGCAAAAATATTTGCAATTTTTTTAGTATCCTGTATTGTTTCATCATTCACATTTATTTTGAATTCACTATTTGCCATCTTTTTTTCTGTTTGTTATTTGAATTGTCAATCAAAGTTGAATGGTAGTTTGTTTGTCTTCACGCATTTTTTCATTTAGATATCTTTTCGTTGATTTATTCTCCGGCTATTATATTTCATCATCCCTTATATTAGAATAGTAACACTCGACAAGCGGTGACAGCAAAACAACTAAACATTTTTTTGAAGCAGATCATTGTTTTGCCAAACAAGGACATGAAAATGTTTTTCGATTCTTTTGGCTTCCATTTTCGAATGACCGTGTTTGACGTTTTCTAATAGAGTGACATATTTTTTGCATTGTTTCTTAATGTATGCAACTTTCAAGTAATGATCTTTATGATGGGTGGGTTTTCAACATGTCCTAGACAATGGACCTGTTTCAATAAAACATTTAATTTCATTATTTCGAAGTAATAACCCTAACTAGTTCACTGTCGCAAACCATTTTTTCCTCAGAGCTCTCTAACTTTTTAAAATAATTATTGAAATTCACGATATTCACGTGACGTAATCATCCGAGAACACTATATAGCTCACCGATTTAACAATTTTTTTATAGAAGGTAGTAAACCGATGTATGGGGGTTGTGAATTATAATTCAATAAAACTCTTTTGACATATCTACTACCTTCATTCCATAATCGGTTAGGGATTATCATTCAACGATACCGGGTTTGATAGGCTTATTTCAAACGATTACAAAGATATTTCCACTCGAGGTTGCCGTAAGCTCAATGAGTGTGACAGGAAAGGAAGTTTCAACGTTGCGCCGTCACACCCATTGATCATTTGGAAACTTCGAATGTCCTATACATTCCAATAGCATCAAGAGTTCAAAATTATTATATGAGTGAATATCTTAGAAGCATTTGTATATTGGCCGGTGGTCGATTGAGCTATGGAGTTTCTAAGGGGTTTTCCACCAAGATATGGGTTCAAGTTCCACTCAAGCCGTACATTTTCTTAATTCATGCTTCCCTAATTCCACACAAGTTTCGACTCACAGGAAGTTATTTCTAGTGCTGGGACCAACGTGGGAGTATAATTGAAAAAGTTTAGTACTGTCACCAGTTACCAGTCTGTGTGATCTATCGAATTTTTGAAAGAATATTAATATATATACAGGGTGTAACTAAATAAGTGTAAAAAATTTAAGGGGGTGATTCCTCATCGAAAAAAAGATAAAATCTTCCATATAAAGAAACTTCGTTGGAGCATCCCATGTCAAGATACAGCCCCTTGAAGGGGGTACATAAAAATTTTTTTCACAAGCACTAAAAAAGTTACAGAATTCAAATTGACCTGACATTTTCTGCTACCAAAAAGACACTTAGCCAGTAATTTATTTGGTTTACCCCATGGTTTAATCCCTTTAATTATTTAACGCAGGTAGTAACTACAAAATGACAATAAATCCAGTTCGCATTTATGTCGATGTATCTCTGTAGTTGATCTCGACATATTTTTTTGCTGCCAACTGGTTTATTTTGGGCAAAAAATTCAAGGGACATTTTTTATTTAGAATGAAACTGGCTATCGGAAATAAATTTTTAAATGGTAAACAAATATTAAGACAAAAAGTTACATTGGAAATAAAATTATGGGTTGAGTTTTCCACCCCTCACAACTATGGGGTGAACCAAATAAATTAGTGGCTAAGTGTCTTTTTGGTAGTAGAAAATGTCAGATGAATTTCAATACTGTAACTTTTTTAGTGCTTGTGAAAAAAATTGATGAACACATTTTATGTACCCCCTTCAAGGGGCTGTATCTTAACATGGGATGCCCCAATGAAGTTGCTTTATATGAAAGATCACATCTTTTTTTCGATGAGGAATCAGCCCCTCAAATGTTTTACACTTATTCAGTTACATCCTGTATAAGTTCTCCTATGTTCAAAGTAAAGTGTACGTTGTTTAGATGGTGTACCAGATATACTTGCCATACCTGGGTGGAATACTTATTATATCAATACAGTCAAATAACTTCTTTCTATAATTATTTAATTGGAACATTCAGAGATAATATATTCCATTTGGAGACAGGTTATAATAATTGGTAGGTTATAATGTTTGGACTGCTTGAGACTTCGACTTTCCAAAGACAGATGAATCATTTGCGTGTTTGCATATCTGAATAGCAACGTTCTGTAGCACCCAATCTGATAATAATATTGCATAGACATTGATTTAGCAATTTCTAATAATCAGATAAAAAATCACCTTGGGTATGGTTATTTTAACGATCCAGAATTTGTAAGAAAAACGGGGCAACTTCATAACATACACGTTCAGTCCTCACGCTACACACACGATAAACATAGGCAGATTGATCAACTGTTACAGAAAAAAAAACAATAAACAAAATATATACGATTCCAACAAACGGATGCTAGTCTAATCTGTAGAACAATAATGATTCAACTATTAGAGAACTGGAATTATCATCTGCTTATATCGAAATTTTTTTCAAATCTGAGGTTTGGGATACTTTATAATATCAGCATGAATTTTTGATAATAACATCCTCTTTAAGGTGAGTTATTGAATGAATTTGGCGAGAAAGCAAGAATTTTGGAGGAAGATACATAAGAAAACAAAATACCAGTTAACATAGATACCAATTGGTAACCATATCTCAACAAAATGTCATTTCATGTAGGTCGTAAAACAGTTGAACATGGTCAATTCATAAATCGACTATACTAATGTCAACGTTAAAATGGAATATCAAATTTATTTCTGAAGATACATATTTGAAATTGGCAGAATGTGGTATTATTACGATTACCTTTTATTTGACCAAAATAAATACCTTTAGTCACTTCCAGTTTCTGACTTATTTCATTTCAAATCGTTTTAAAATTTTCTTTTCAGTGGTTTATACCACTTTGTATTTCACATTAAAAAAAAGCATAACAGTAGCGTCACTTGGAATTCAAAATTCGGAAATTTTTGTATAAATCCTACAAAAAACTCCAAACTCTTAGGTTTAACTATAGTCCAGACTCTATCTTGGTCGTCGCATATTCAATTGCTCAGAACAAAATTGAGGTCTTTTATACCTCTCAAATACTTGAAATTAATTTATTTCAGTTTGATTTACTCTAAATTGCAGTATCTGATATCGATCTGGGGTACTAGAGCAAAATCTGTTTTGAAACCTCTGAAATCTCTTCAAAATAAAGCCATGAAATGTATTTATAAACTACCATTTCTGGAATCAAAATCTAGACTATACAAACCAAGAGATCTATTAGATATTGAATCTCTTCGGAATGAAAGTATGCATTTTCATTAATTTCACTAAAAATAAGAAAAAGCACTCGAATCCTACTTTCAATATCAATTCTGATAACCATGAGCATCACACCAGACAAAGTGAACATTTGAAAAATGTCAAAATAAAAACCCAATTCGGGAAAAAATCATTGTATTTTTGTGGAATAAATATGTATAATAGTCTACCCAACAGAATAAAATCTATTAGATTCGTCACAAAAGTGTGAACTGAACTGAAGACATATATTTTATCAATTCTAACTCTCCTTGTATCAATCAATTCTGATTGAATTGTTCATCTTTCATTGTATTGCATATTTGATTTTATTTGATTTTTTTCCCTCTATAAACATTGTATGTTTCTTGGGATCAATACATGTTATTATTATTAAATTAAGAAATTAGATGCCACGATTTCGGTATTACTGCTTTTCCACATGCGCTTTTTGTGTTCTTCACATAGTGGAAGCGTCCAAACTCTCGGCGTCGCTGGGATCAATGGGCGGCCGTGCGGTGGCGGCACCGGATTCTCCGACGACGAGGTTAGCTTGTCGCCGCCTCGGCACACCTACGTCCTGGAGCTCGGCCCCCGACACCAGACCTACTCCTCTGCCGCCCTATCGGACGACGATCTCTCCGGAGACTTCTGCGACCACGAGCCCCCAACATGCGGGGGCATACGAGACCATTTCGACCACCCCCACCACCACGTCTCCGCTCGCCGTCCGCGCAGCTGTTCACAGGGCAGACACAGGTACCCACCCTATTACCCGGACGCCCTCTAGTCGCGAGTCCGACCTCGCCCACGTTTTCCTCGACAATTATCCTTCGCAGACGCAGTCGCAAAGCGACCTCGGCCACGAACACGTTGTAGCTACCCCCGAATACGCTTACAAGTCGGTCACTACGCTGCCCAAGCGCCACGTTTGGCGGCGTAGTGCGAGCTGTAAGGATCTTTACGATTTCAGCTTCGAGGAGACCGGGCAGGCGAAACGTAGGGCGCGCCCTCCGAAGCCGATCGAGAAGGCTGTGATCAGCTTCGAGGAGCGCACGCTAGAGTCCCCGATAACCCGCTATGACGAACGCCCGGTTTATAGCGCCAGTTCGCGCGACAGTAGCTTGGAAATACGCCAGGACATTATGGTGCCTGACGAGAAGGTTTATTCGAGTAGTTACCCGGGCACGACGAGCTATTCTCAGGAATCGGTCGAGGACCCGGGTAACTACGACCTTCGCGATTCCCAAGACGATATCACGCACGATAGCTACGAGCTTATAGAAAAATCCGACGACGAATATAGTTCGGGCGAGTACAAGTACCGCAAGCCGAAACCTTTGAATACTAGAAGTTGTAGCTTAGACTCCGGTAATTATCTACCTTCTGATAGTGAATCTGACCATGATAAACGGCATAAATGTAAGAGTAGTTCTGATGTTCATCAAGATATATTCTCGATGGAGGACCCGCGTGATTTGCCGCGCGAAATCATACCGAGAAAATCTGACGGAAGCTTCTATAAGCAATTCAAGCAGGGTTCTCGAACGTCTAGTTTGGAGTCGAAAAGTGATTATTACGAGTCAAAGTCCAGGTCCAGCGGAGATAGCTTCAAAAAACATAGGGAGCATAGCTTTGGCTCTCGAACTTCCAGCCAGGAATCAAAATCAGACTATGAAACAAAAAAAAGTATACGCAAAAATAAAAGTGTGGATGATATTGAGGCAATAAACGGATTTATAGAATCTCGAACATCTAGTCTCGAATCGAAAAGTGATTACTATGATGCCCCGTCAAGATTTATTGGTGACAATTTGAAGCATGATTTCGATAGGAAAATCCAGTTTGAACGTAATTATGGTATTCATAAAGTTCCAACCCATGATAATGACGAAATCAATCGTAATTTTACTCATGTACACTCAATTAGTTTGCAGAATGTCGAAACTGAGCAAAATATCAAAATCAATCGGTTATTGACGAACTTGGAGCAAAACACTGTGCCACGAACGCAAAAATCTTCACAACAACACAAATCTCACCCTGCGGATCATGATCAACATAAGTCGAGTAACTTTTGGCCCACAGATGTAGGCGCCATTCCTTGTGATATTCCGAATTGGTCCATGCAGGAACCAAATATACAAAGATCTACAGAATCTGAAAGCAACATATTCAGCTTTGATGACGAAAAGATTCAATCTCTACAAGGAAGTGTAGATTCAGATGTGTGCCCAGATCATGGCTTCAGTGTAGTACCTAACATAGATTCTAAGCGTACCAAATCTAGCAAACCCAAAACCTATCGAGACATTTTTATGGAAATCGAACCTAGAATAGTGTGTGACTTACCTATGCATCAACCAATTGAAAGAACGAAATCTGATCCTAACTCATTAGCTCGACAACGCTTGAATTCCAACTCTAGGAGAATGTTGCTTATGCATCAGAAATCATTTGAACTTACTCCGGCAGAATCAAGTGACGAGGACTTTATCTACAAACAAATACCAAGTGCGCCACCCATAATGAAGTACAAAGAAACGCACTTTGAGATGCCCTCAGCTGAATTCGGACACTTTGATGTGCTGAAAAGGGAAGTAGAGGGAATCAAAACCAAGTTTGAGGTACCAAAGAGTCAGTTTGAAATATTGGGTGCTAAAACCCAGTCAGATTTGACAAATTTGCCACCCAAAGACGAGGAGATCTCATACGTTTTGCACAAAAGACATGTCAATGGTACTGCTAAAAAAGAGGAAATCAAACATTACGAAACAGTGGAAGTTCCTAGAATGAACGTGATAGATGTTCAAGATGTGCCAAAAGTCGATGAAACAAAAAAGACGAAATCCAAACCTATTCCGGAACCCGAATCTTCATTTTTGTTTACTAAAAACATAGACTTATCGAAAGTTGATCCTGTAACTCTAGAAGTGGACAAAACGGTTTTACCAATACAACACCTTTCAAGCCCCAAGAGAGATATTACTCATATAGATCCGGTTTTACTAGAGGCTTTGAACACAAAGCTGAGTCAGATAGAAAGTGATTCACCAACTAGTTCCAAAACAGAAAGCATAAAACCTCTTCAGAAGATAGTGATTACCTCTGTTGATCGCATAGCAAAAAATGAAGTTAAACCGGAAGAAAAAGCAGTGCAAATAATGGAAGAAAAGAAAGAAATTGAATTTAAAGCGAAAGCCAGAATCAAAACTGATATAAAACCAAAAAGAGTCATCAAACCAAGGATGCAGCCAGGTAAGAAGAGTGGCAAAACTAATAAAACTAAAGTCAGAATAACCTCCTTCAGCTCCGACGACGAATCGCTAGATTCAGATGACGTGTTTGGAAGCGCTGAAGCCACTCCTACCCGAATAGAATTTTCTCCACCACAAATGCGGAAAGAAATGGAATCGATACTCAAATTTGAATCGGAAAGAAAATATTTGCAGTATACCATGTCTTCTACGGAAGTCGAAGGTTCTCCACCAACAACAAGAAAGAGAACGGACAAAAAAGATGATGGATTAGATGCTGTATCGACAGAGCTCAGAAGAATATCTGAGAGATCGTTATCGATTCCTAGCTCAGAAGATGAGTTCAATATCAAAACTACTGATATGCAACCTGTGTTTATAGAAGAAAAACTCAAAACGGTTGACGAGTTGGAAGATGGTGACAAATCACTCGATGAAACTCTTAAAGAAGAATGCTCGAGTGACAGAGAACTGACGACTATTGACTATGAAAGAGAGAAAGAAAAGGAGTTATTGAGAACTGAGATAGAAAACGATTTGAAAGATTTGAGAGTACCTTCGAGAACAAAAATAACGGAAATTCCATCACCTTCTTTGAGGAAACAAGGTCACAGCCCACTGTTATTTGCCCATGCTAGGCTTAACTTATCTGAGGGCTCTGCTTTCACTTTGCTTCAAAAACAACAAGCCCTGGAATCTCCTATTGCTGGTAGGAGAGCGAAGAGTTTGGATGCTCCAGTTATATCTGTCAGTAGACTACCTCCTTTGAATGCATTCTCAAGCAAAGATGACACCGTAGCTGAAGAAGATCAACAAATGACTGATAGAGAAAGTGGCATTGAAAATTATTTGACAAGCGACAAGTCGACAGAAGAAAGATCTGATACGGACGAAAGCAGGGGAAAATTGCCGGAGAAACTGAACAAATTAGCGTTGATGGAATCTACTGTAGAAGAACATCCGGAGAATTCGTCAACTCTTTCGGCTAAGATAGAAAATCAAGTTGTTGACAACGAAAAAGTGATCGTCACAGATCGAAGTTTAGTCGTTCCAGTTCTGCCTAAGAAACTGAAAGACAGAGATCAAATAGTACCAGATGTGAATGGTTCTAAAATTAAAAAACCTAGTAGGACTACCTTACAAACCAAAACAGCCGGGAAACCCACGAAACCAAAACTTCAATTGAAATTAAATTATCCAAAAGAGAAAGAAAAACTGCCAGCAAAAGCTATTACTGCTAAATCTAAATTCAAGTCAAAGACTGAATTACCTTCAACAATTGCCAAGTCTTCACCTCAAAAGGCACCTTCTTCGAAAGTGGTATTGAAACCTGAAAATGATGAACTTATCACGACACAAAAATCAATTTCTGTACAAGAATCTTTACCGGTACCAGAAGTAAGGAGAACCAAGAGTCAGGAAGCAGAGATCACTAAGAAAGTTCCTCTCAAAGAGAAAACAAAATCATTGGAAAAGCTAGAGCTCAAAAAAGCGAGTACCAAAGAGAGAAGTAAATCTCAAGAAGATAGTGATCCAGACATTATAGCAAAGAGAAAGGAAAAACAACAGATGCTTTATGAAATAGCTATGCAGCAAAGCAAAACGTTGAAGAGTCCTGTGAAGGATGTGCTACCAGTGTTTCCCCAAGTGGAAGAAATGGTTAGGGAACGTCATGGCAAATTAGAAATCAGCATTAACACCATTGAACCGAACGTCCCTCTAGAGGATGCTATTATAATAACTAAATCTCCTAAAAAACTTGATAAAATGGGGGAAAAACTTACTAAGAGTTTGGATCTCAATTTGCCTGAGGAAGATAATAGCAGGGCTGTTCAGCGTTTAGGCAATAGCTTGGACCTTGATAGTCGTGATACTAAATCTGCACCAGACGAATTCGACTTCAAACCTGAAACGATCAGGACCATGCAGAAAAAAGAACATTTTGAGGAAACATCACCAGAAACTGATGTCATTCAGGAAACCGTTACAGCTGATATTCATGAAGCACCCGGAGAAGCCGAAGGTGATGACAAAATAACATTAGAAGGAACGAGCTTAGATGTGTGGTTGTCAGTGGATGAATCGAATAAAAAGCTAGAAAATATTGAAGTTATAAAAAGTTCCAGTGATTTTTTTGAGCAGCGTACCTCCCCGAAGCCCCCAGATTTGAGTAAAATTGACGCCAAAAGTTCCTCCGATTCTCAGAGTATCGAAAGAATCAGTCTAGGAAACTCATTAGACATAAAATATATTGATGAGTCCACTGGGGATTCTTCTAAATCTGACAAGGATTTGAAACTCATAGCAGATATCCAAAAATCAATTGATACCGAAAAAAGAAAGCTTGAGGAGACGAGCAAAGATAGTTTAATAAGGATAACCAGTGAAGAAGAATCTTTGACAGATGTGAGTGAATTGAGAGGAGAAACTGTGAAAGCTGAACACTTCTTATCTGTATCAAGTGATCATAAAGATCAATTACAAAAATTGGGCATAGAACGAAGTAGATCCGAGGATACAGGGTCTTGGATAACTGTTGATTGTGAAGAGTATGCCGGAACCGAAGGGTCTTTAGATTATGATAATGTCACGTTGGAATCACCAGAAAAACCCAATGACATTGTGAAGGACGTGCTTTCGCCCGAAAATGAGAATCTCCTTACTGCCACTAGAAAGCACGGAAAATTGGATTTATTGAAAAGGAGTTCTGACCAGTCCAGATCCAGCGATACAACTGGTTCATGGACGAGTGGAGAAAAAGATATATCTCCTGGAAAAGAAATTAAAGAAACAGATGAGTCCAGTACCAGTTGTGCCATAGGTAGAGCAATTGGCTTGAGCCAGACTATTGAAACATTCACGACAAGAGAATTACTCAACAAAAAATCTCCAGATTCTGAGCCTCCAAGGAGTCCAAGAAGTCCTAGAAGTCCTAGAATATGCGTCTTGGGTAGAGCATTCACTATAGATGAAGGTTCCTCCTCATTAAAATTGGATGATTCAAGCTCAGATGAGGCGAATGACATACCTAAAGATTTAACCCCGATTCAGGAGACCCAGACAGAAGTAGAAGACGTAATTGCAATAAAGAAAACTCCCTATCCCTTCGAACAGAAATGGTCGAATGATTCAGAATTGAGCCAAAGATTGCATCACAAATTGTCGAAAAAACTGTCTTCTGCAGAAAAAGGGAGCCTTTCATCAATTGACGACTCAGTATCTGACAAACGAAAAAATGGTCATATTCTTGACAAACCCAATCTGTTCTCTGTTGAACGTCTCTCGACAGAGTCTAGAAATTCACTTGATACAGAATCTAGCTCAGGCAGTTTAGGTGTAGCATGTAGACTACAAAAGTCCAATGACATTCCAAAAGAACTCAGTTCGACATGGAAAGCTTTTCCTTTGGAGAGTTCAGGTTCAGAGAGTTTTGAAGATAATCTTCCTCCTGACCAAGACCTGGATAAACAAGAATACTTCATGTGCCGAGATAACTCTGGTGAATTCAATACAGGGTCTGATATTTATTATAAAGAAGATAATGATATAACCCCCACTAGAGATGACACAGAGCTACCAGAAGATCTAGCTAATTTTCCTGCGAATTTCGGTTACCCTTGCTTGACTTCTATGAGCGGACTTGGCATGGGGAGTTCAGATATATTAGGGGGGTACTCAGGCGGAGGATTTCTCTCAAGAACTTTGTCTAGGATATCTGAACGAAGTACCAATTCCGAAAAGTCTAGCATGGATGATGATTCTACGAAAGCCAGTACTCAAAGTGATAGTTTGAATGATGAGTCAATGCCATCTAGCAATCCTCAAGTTAGTATTAGTTCCGAATCACCAAGCAATGCACACGTTTCTGATCATCAAAAGAAAACTTCCAAGAATACTGAAATCCAAGAAGAAGCAGACAAACTGAGTGATCTGAGTAAGCCAAGTGATAGACAAGAACCTCTACCGCACATTAGCAGTTTGTTACAGAGACAGATATCTGATGATAGACGGACCTCGGCAGAAATGGCTGAATTATCCATGGACGACATTGAAATTATAACTTCAGAAAGAGGTTTGAGGTTGAAACGACAGGGTTCTGATGACACAATCATTGATGAGGAATGTTTTGAGCCAGAGGCAAAAGAAGAGCCTTTTCAGTCCAGTAGCCAAGAAAGCGAAGATTGGCCTTTGCCAGAAATACCGCAAGGACAAAAACTACTTGCAATGCATGAAATTCCCAGCAGTGATACCTCCCAGCAAACGACGCAAGTGTACCAACCTCCCAACAAAAATATTCCTAAAACATTTTGTTTGAAAGGATCATTGTCACTGAGAAGTCAGGAATCTGAACAATGGCCAAGTCCACCATCTAGTGTGGCTGAGTCTAGTAATATTGTCGGACATGTGGAAACGTACTATATCACTCCACCGGAAGAAGCTTATAAAGTTATAGTCGATTCTAATACTGTGAGTAGTTACGATAACGATTCGAATTCAGACGAAAAAACTGGGGAAACAGAAAAATCCCATACATATGAGAATGTGGCAAGAGAGCAAATTAGTGAGAGTATTTCAGAAAGTCTTAGTGTAGGACCAAGTGGCGTCAAAATTATTTTGGAAGAAAAATCTCAGGGATCTAACTCCGACGAAGATTTGAATATATCTAATTTAAATGACGATGTTTTCACTGATACCATCGAAACAAGCAGAAATGAATTGAGACCTCCTACTGTGATGCGTAGAAGTACTGCTTCCGATGACTCTTCCCACTCTCAAAAAAGCGATAGGAAAGGTTCTGCGAAAGGTTCACATAGTTCATATTCTGAAGAAGATTGTACTAGTTCTATGGGTACCAATCTTGAGGACGGAACAGTGAGATATGCCTTGAGGCCAACTAAATGTACTCATAGTTCTCATTCTGAAGATACCTCAATCGCTCTGAGCCTTTCTGAATGGTCTAATAGTACAACTACTGTGAAGTTTCAGAATTTATCTAGTAATAGCGGCACGCCGAAAAGTAGTTCAGGGTTGAAAAGTGATGAAAACTCGTTAACGGACATAGCCCAGTCAATATCTGAATGGTCAAGCAGCAACACCAGCAACACTTTGAAAGCCCAACAGAGTTCTGGATTGCAATTTCAGAAATTGTCTTCTACATCTACAGGTGACAGCACTTTGACAGAAAGAATATCGACGATTCCCGAGTGGTCGAGTTCGGACGCCAAACCGTTTTTTCCAAGTTCTATCCAAGATCTGACTGCTCCAACCAGATTGGGGTCAAGCCTAGAAATCGAAGAGTTTTCGTTATCTCCTGATGGAAAAGCCGTTCCGAGCCCGAAGAATATTCCATCTGAAGACTTGGCGATGTTGTCTAGTTTATCCAGCCGAAATGAGGTCAAATCTTTTGCGAAATCTACCGAACGCCCGATTGTTATTCCTGCGCCATTGTCCGACACTGACAAGTCTAGTAGTTCTATAGAACAACGAATAAGTCAAACACAACGTCTCGACAAAGACAAACCAAAGTACCTGCAGAAACACTTGCCTTCCTCCAGAAGCACGGAAAGACCAGTAAAGGTACCTCTGAAGCTAGCTAAGTGTTCTCCTTATTATTCCAGTAGCCTTAGTTCTGAGTCAACACCCCAAGCGAGTACGAGTCCTGTTCCTACTAAAACGTCTACTGTTCCATTGACGAGAACCCACAGAAAACCGCTTTCTAAGAGTTTGTGTCAAGCCAAGAGTCCGCCTAGTGAAGACTCTACGAGTAGTGTTGAGTCACCAAAGAGCAAATCAGAGAGAGATAGAAGGGGTTACCGTCGGAAACGACAACTTCAAAACCAACGAAGAGCCAAACTTGAAAAAGAGCAGTTTAGCGTAGACGAGTACTTTTTTGTCGAGCATGAAGCAGGCTTAATGGAATATGAAGAGTACATGAGACATAAAAGTATGGAAGAGATGGCTTCGAACTTCCAATACGAAGGCGCTCTAGCTCAAGATAGCCCTGGAATTCCTTATGCTGAGACTTTAGAGGAAGGTTACCTTCCAGACGGGGACTCTCAGTCAGGCTCTGACATTTTTCGAATGGAGAGAGATGAAGAAGAGAAAGGAGATGTTGAAGGTTTCGACGTCACTTCCATTCCACCTCCTTTGTTAGAAGACGATTTTGAAAATGACTGCACTCCGCCGATTTGATTTTAATGTTGATGACATATAGGATATTCTATTAGGATTCTTATATATTTTCTGTTTTGGTGTCGTAAGTTTCTGTATCTCTCTTGGTCTGATTTTCATCTACCAAATCTTGATACTGGTTGGGGTATTTCAGGTTTGTTAGATTACCTGACAAGTAATATTACTTCCAGAGATTTTAGGACTGGGATAAAAGAGACTGAATGTTCATGAAAGCTAAATCGGATTAAGTTTCATTTTTTGTGCTGGCCCTCTCTCTAATATTGATAGTGCAAATACAGGGTGACGCTCGGTAGAGGCATAGATATTTCACTAGCGAGTTGCCTGGCTTCAAAATCACATGGCTTCAGTTATTGGATGACAACCATATTATAGGGGTGCCAATGGAGATGGATATTTTATTCACATTACTCGTTAAACCCGGTTATAGTATTTTGGTGAAGGGGGTGGGAAGCAGCTATTTCAGCAAATATGAAGTCAACATTAACCATTTTTGAATTCCTATTTCTTTCAGTTTACCCAGTTTACCTATTTATAACCTCACTCTTTCATTTTGAATCTGAAAGAAGAAATATTTGTTGTTTATCTATGTTTCCTTGTTGATATGGAAACCTAATAAAATGGATGTCTATAAAAATTTCAAATTGAAAAATTAAGTTGTGTGCAGCCGAAAGTTGTTGATAGATGATTTGACATTTGTTTTGTTAGGAGGATTAGACATGTTACTTCGTTTGATTGAAGAGAAATCATCAAAATATTGCCACCATCACTGCTCTAAGAGGTATCAGGTGAGAGAAATCATCAAAGTATTGCCACCATCATTGCTCTAATAGATATCAGGTGTTATCATTTCAGAAATCTTTATTTCTTTGAAACCGGGATAGATTTATCACCTGGAATCAGATTTTTGTCGCATATTTCGAAATGAGAAACACTGTACAACAACTGCTTCAAGAAGTTGTTCCTTTCTTAGATAAAAGACATAAACATGGTGGACGAATCCCAGTACCCTTGCTTATTTACATTTGCCCGAGTATCTCGTACTTCGACATACACTCCACTGATTTGTAATGTGACTGTTTCCATGTCTTCCATCTTCCAGTTCTTGAACATACCTTCAATTTGACATTAACCACCTTCACCAACGTTGAAGTTGGTATACCCAAGGGCAGGTAGGGGAAACGTAAATAACGTCACGGTTAAACACAATGAAATTGGATTATCAGCTTTAACCATGACGGGTAATGTGAATGAAATATCTCTAAGATGTTGACGAACGCCTGTTTCCGAAATAAACGCCTGAGCGATTGCGATATTAAACCGAAAACGGAAGCGTTGCTCACGGACAATCGAGCGGGCGTTTGACAAATAGATTTGCACATAAAAAACACGTTCTTGAACATGCCATTATAGCGAATGAAATCGTGTGACACATAAACTCCCATCATCATTCTTTAAATCGCCCGACTTTCGAAATTCTGTGGCCGTTAGGAAGCGTTGACCTTTCAAAATCCATGTGTCTCCCGCGCTATATCCTGTAATTATTAATTTTTTTTGTTTAAAACTATCGATCACGCCTTGGCACACTTTGGAGAAGTTGTGACGTGTCTTTATTATTTTTATTTTCCACCTTCCTCAAATTCTCTGCAACTATCGTCTGCCACTATATCGGAAGCAATAGACACTCGTTTTACTTATCATACATAAAAACTAGACGAGTGGCCTCATTTACTAGGTGAGAGGAAATTCCAAAACTCAACTTTTTGTGGTAATATTGAACAACTATTCAAAAACGGTTTTTAAAATCGAATTTTATGATTGAAAAAAAGTACCTCAATTATGAAATTAAAGTCCTGTTTTAGGAGCAAATTATTTAGAGAAATTTTCGTAGATACAATCAATATGTATTTACGCGCCCAGAAAATAACGACAGTTTATTATTCATTTGTATAAATAGTACAATTTTTTTCATAACCATGAATATAACTGGAGAGGAAAAAAGTAGGAAAATGGAATAATTATTTAACTGAAAGGAGTAATGAAAGAATTATAGATCTTTTTCATTCAAAGCACGTGATATATTTCCAATTTGCATGTACTGAGCGTTCGGTTCCAGTTGTTACAAAAATTCTAGGAACTGCAAACATAATACCTACATTTTTTCATAACGGCAATCACCGTCGTAAAATGAAATCATGTTACTGTGTTTTTTCGATATTTTCTCGAGATGCCCTCTCATGATTGAAATAACAGCTGTTTTTTTTCCTATTCGGTTTGTTCCACATATTTTATATTTCTTTCTTGATATTCCACACATTCTGTAAATGTATTTCGAACTGAAGTTTTATGTCAACTTGTACTAAGATTGCATATAGGAATTGTAACTTCTTCAAAGCTGTGATTTTGTAAATAGATAGTATCTCAAAGGTTTGTTTCCCTACTCAAATATAATATGTTATATGATTCAGCTAGTGCTCATCAGATTTGAATGACATATTGAACCTTCGAAATAATGATTTGAAAAATTGTCGATGATAGAAGGATTGTTTCTGAAAGAACTTGACATCATTCGGCTAGCACAGACTAAAAAAAAATCATTGGAGAGATACGCAATCTATATGTTCAACAATGGCAGGCAGTGGAATAAAATCCAAATGATTGTACAAAATGTTTATACTTATTTTGTAGGAAATAAAAAAACATAATTGTACAATCTTTTGTATAGCTGCACCTGCACTGTTTACTTGCACACAACTATGATACCTTCACTTAAATGAAATTATCGCAAGTGCTTATTTACACTGATTTAAAAACATGTATATTGCACTGGTGATTAATTTTTAATCAATTTTACTACAATACAGTATTGCAAATCAAAGTATATTATTATATCCTACAATAATCATAACTTGATGTTTTACAAAACAAAGACTTAACTAAATAGTATTGATCATTGTGCCAAATGTCGAAATGTTCTGTGCCATTGGTCTGTGTTATTGAATACTTAAAAAACGTTTTTGAAAAGTAAACAACTTAATTTGTCTTCTTCTATATTAAACTCGAAATGTATATTATATGAGTATTGAATGAAATGTAATCTATTCGAAAACCTACCGGATTCAATTTATACAGTATTCACATGATTTCAGAATTACCTTCATATTCAATATGAATAAGCCCGAAGACTGATGAAACATGTATATAAATTGTTTTGAAAACTAAAATCAAACATGTAAATGGTGTATTATTGTTCAATTCTTCCTATATAGATACATGCCTGAGATAAAAGAAGGTTGTTTTGCCTCATTGTTATTCGTTGGTTTACTTTCAAGAAAATTTCAATTGGCCATATAAATTATTTTGTCATAGTATAAAGTTCTATTGCCAAATTAGTTCGACTTAGCAATTGATAGTTCTCATGTTTAACTTAGGGATTAGAACAAAAAATGCGTTGAGTGATTCCGAGTAGTATTTAGTTATTCAAAGTCTTTTATCATAAACCATCTCAAGTTCTATAGGGTAACACTGATGTTGATAATGGAGAATTGCAAATCGATAGATCTGAAAGAATGAAGGAAATATTTTCTTTCTGAGTTAAAATAAGCTAGTTTTGAAATTGATAGATATGGTAATTGCTCAGTCGATTCTTTAGTATTCATCTGAGTAATTGATTAAAATTTCTTGGAAACGAGCACGAACCAGTAAACACTACACTGTCATATAAGAAATCTGAAATAGACTGAATTCAAAAAATACTGGTCTTACAAAAATAACAGTGATAACATAATCATATATAAGTGAATCATTCGTATAATAGTCAAGGAAAAGAATTCCCAAATACTTTGATGAAATTGGAAAAATAGAATCACCAAACCAAGCGAAACTGGACTTGTCAAGCTTTATCAATTGTGCTAGACTTGTCTAATTGACCGAAGATAGAGCTGTGCCATTTTCTCTCTCTAGTGTTTTGACGTACCAAGCCTCATCAGTTGTGCTAGACCAGTTGATGAACTATCAAAACTACGCTACGCTAACTAAGTTATTATCTTCAGGAGAAGATTAAAACAGTTTTGACCTTCTCCTGGAGATGCTAACATAGTAAGTAAAACACGTATGAAAGGTTTGAAAAATCGTTTTTGTTAGTGGTAAAACATGGGTAAAAGAGTATAGTGTGATTATCGATTCTTTGATTTCTATCGATTTCCACATTGTTTTCTATAATTTTCATTTGAAACAGTGTCAGAATCCTAATGAATCATTATAGTATTCTGTTCCAAATTGTTATATTTTTGATTTTAGTGTCAGTGGTAATATTGCATTAAGCAAATTAACTTTCCTTACATGTTAGATCATTTTTAGTGACCTATTGAACAGAATATTCCATTTCCAAATGCTTTAAAGGAAAAGTCAATTATTTAAATATAATTAGATTCATTTGAACTCTCAATATCATCTTGATATGCCTATGTAGTGATTTTCTACCTCGAAATTGGAATATTATGGCCAGTTGAAAGATCTTCGGTCTAAAATAGATTAACGTCTGTAATAATATTGTAGTACAAATCAGTTGGAATTTTGAAATTGTGAAGTTTTAAATGTGAAAGTTTAACGAAAGAAGGCCTAATATAACAGGACAATGTAATTGAATAATAATTCCAAGCATAAACATATGTGTCGTCAATAATGAAGTTTTCTCTTTTTTACTTTTTTGTGATATTTATGAGATATTGTTGATAAGGTATTCATATAATCTTAGATATAGGAAGGGACGTACATGCAACTCTGTAGCGATAGAAACCTTCAATCTCCTCTTAAATCGAATTGTCATTAAGTATACATTGTGTCTCAGATTTAACTTGTCTAGCTTTTAGAATCAATAGAAACATTCTAAATATCTTATACCCGTTTTTACGTGGTGGAGTAACTGGTTTTCAATGTACGGGGTGTTTAAGTTCTATTATATTTGGTTTTGAAGTGTTCGTTTGAAACAAACGCTATGGAATCGAAATCTGGTTATATCATATACTGAGTTAATTGATATATTGGAATTTTTTAAATTATCATTTATTGAAGCGCCACTGGTTAATTGAAACTAATGGAGAATTAGGATCATTTATTTTCCTTACTTTGAACAATTTGAATGACTCTGAATCTATTCCATAAATGATAAATGCACTTCAGATGTCAAAAATGTATCTATATTGGTGGATTTTGAACAATTGCTGTAATTGTTTTGATATTTCCGGGCATTCCAACTCATTAAGTCGGATAAGTCGGAATTGAATACTTTTGAGACACTGAGTCAAAATTTTGAAAAATGATTGCGGTGGCCCTTCAACGCATTCGTAAATATCATTCAATGGGCGTAGAACTCGATTTTTTTCAGTTAACGAACATCTAAAACTTCTACGCCAAAGGAAGGAAAGAGTCTTGAATATGAAATTTAGATCGCGAAATCTGCTTTCTACAAAAAAGGTAGGTACTCTAGATGAAATTTGATTACTCTCATGGTTTCGACGAAATTTTAATTTTGGTAATTTTAAGCATCAGTTAACATTATAGTTATTAACGTGACAAAGTCCATATGTAGCAAACAACCGAATCCGGTATTTGCGTATCGGCTGTGTGTCGTTCAAGACTTTGAAAGGTTCGTAATTCTACAGAAATATACCATGTTGTTAAGTAACAGTGAACTGCCGCCGGCTGTTAATAGTATATTATGTAACAAGTGTTATAAACGTCCTTTTAGTAACGAGTAGTTTAATAAACGCGTGTCTAGAACAGTTTATAAACTCGTTACATACTATGATTTTCCTACGAACTCCGAAAATTACATTAACATTCCTGCAATTCCTGCTAACCTACAAAATAATTCGAAAGGAATGGGAATTGAGAACATAATACATGCAACTGCATGCAACCAGCGAGACACGTATAAGTGATATTGGTTGTAGATGTGTGTGTGTGTTATTGTCATGCTCAGCGCAAAATAAATAAATTGTTCTCAAAGATGGATGCTTCATTTTCACACTTCTTGGAGATATGCAAGTTCCAGAACATTCTCTTCGATTTCACTTTCGTCTACTTTTCGCATATATTTTTCATGATGAATTCTGATACAAACGAATATTGTTTGAATAATTCTGATACAAAATTCGAAAATAACAGATGACAATGTGTTTAAGAAATCGTGTTGCCATGGTAACGTGTTTAATATTTTGAATAAATCACAGATCGACAATTCGTGATGAATTGATCATTTAGCGTGGTACATATCAGTACGCTAAATACCATTTTAGTTATGTGAGTAGAAAAACCAACTTAACGGACGGAGGCTGACGGACTGGAATTCATATTTTGTCGAAACCATGAGAATTTTATCTGTACCTATCTGTACCTTTCATGTAGTAAATCAATACGCAATTCAAATTGCATGTTTGAACCCCTTTATTTCCATTGTCGTAGACATTTTAGGTGTTCATTAACTAAAAAAAAAAAAAAAACAACTTCTACCGCCATGGAATGATATTTATCAAAATTGTGATATGGATTCTATTGCCCAATAAAGCTATGCCAATAAACGAAATTTAAGTAAATAAAATCTTATGAGCCATTTCAAAGTTAGGAAGCAAAAACGAATTAAAAATCGTATCTTCAGAGCCTCCTGGAGCCCAAACTAAGCAATATTGCCAGTTTTCTTGTATCGAAATGTTTTGGTGTGAAGAATATGTGGAGAGAAGGAAAATTGTTCCAGAGTTGTCTTGTCATTGTTCGAAGTTCATGTTATGTTTTTGATGCTACAAGCATGTAAAAATAATATCGAAGAAAAGTCTAGGTTTCCGTATTTGTGCTATGTACAATCATTTATTGAACTTGACTTCGATTACATCTAGTATCACTCCATTTTAACTCTGTAATGATCCTTTATTTGGGAATAAAATGTACAATTTGTCGAAATTGTTCAAATTCATTTTTTCATTCCGTACATCCGCTACTAGGATTAAGGTGAGCACTACATATTAAAGCATGGTTTATTTCGTCGTATTCGGATCTGCGTTGTTTTACTTTGTAATTTTTTTGCAACTTGGGTATGTATTATTTTGTCAACGTTTTGTTTCTGCTCCCTTCGATTCATTTTTTTACTGTTGGCCCTTTTACTGGATTATTACTCAATGATAATACACCAAATATTCCTCTCATTTTATGAGAATTGCAGATGCATTAACATTACCTGCACAGCATTATTTTCAGTATTATTTGTCAATTTCTGATATTCCGTTAATTTAGTTGGTATTGTGCTGTGTTTCCTTTATGATTTGATTATTTTTATAACATATGTCATGACGCTTTTGTTGAAATTTGTTAACATTTTCCAGATGACTTCAAGAAAGAAATATTGGATAACAGCAATGGTAACGACGAAAATATCGCAGAAAATAACAACTTTTACACTTCAACTCCGCATAAAGCTCCCAATGGTAACGTATCTGACATATCGCTGAATGTGAGCAATGGAAACTACTCCATGCCGAGAGATGAAGACAGCCCTTCTAAAGCTCTGGCTAAAGAACAACTAATGAATAGCATAAATGCTAACAACAATGCTAATGGGGCAGACGTGAACTCGGCAACAATCATTGCTGACATTGAAGGAGATACGAAGAAGAAAGCCAGGCATTTTGTTGATAAGACATATTACATAGCCAAGGAGATATTAATGACAGAACTCACTTACAAAAAGGACTTGGATGTTATCAATGTGGTATGTATAGTGCGATGACAGTTGGATATCTAGACTGACGGGTTATACATGACTCTCCAATCACTCAGTTCAGTGTATACTATACCAGAGGGGTTTAGCTACCGTCCCTTCCGGAGAAGGCATTTGTTTTCTGTTTCTTGAACTCTCACTCAATTGTTTTCTAATAATATAGGTTATATTAAATTCTCATTATCAAGTGTAAAAACTGTGCCACTGTCAGGCATTGAAGTCAATGTAAACAATGGTAGCAATCAACCCTTTCAAGTTAATCCAGTACACCGTATTTTAATGTAGATATTGTGCCTAATTTCCGAAAATGAAGGTTTATCGAACCTGTCCAGAGGTAACTAATCATTCAGATTGGGAAAGTAGGATATACAAAATTTAGGCAAGCCAAGGTTAGTTTAGTTCATTGTGCCAATATATCACCTGATGAAGCTACTGTGTTAGTGTGTTAGTTTGTAAAGTTTTTACATTGCCATGGATTTCCATCAAGTAACGGCAAAGTGAATTCAAAATACAGGTTATTTTAAATACCTAATTTGACACAGGAAATAGATGACGCGACATGCCGTCCCTTCGAAATTTCATTACAGGGCGATTTTGGCGATTTTCGCTGAATGAACAGTCATGTATAACCCGTATATGATTTGATCACATTGTCCGTGTATAATAAATGACTTAATAAGAACTTCGTTTGAATAATCGATTTTTGCGTTCATTCTGGGAGATTTTTTGAAACACTGTTATTAAGAATTACTGAATTACTCATTGATGTCACCGAACTGTCATGAGTTTGATATTTCCATCTATCATCTATTAAGAAAACTTGATAATTTAGGTATAGGGACATGCTATGTCATCTTGTAGCATTTTTCTACGTCCTTCAATTAATTGAATGAAAACCAGTGGGTTCATTTGAAAAAATGAACTTTTGACCACTTGTATGAACAACGGATATAATAATAATTTTAGCACGCCCTGTATGATATGAAGGCGATTTCTCAGTGTAAATTGAATACATCAAGCCTGTCCAAACCACCACTGAAATATCAACTCTTAGTGAATTGAGAGCCCTGATTTACTTAGGTTCAATTACGGATATGTTTTGGATCATATTTTTTAACACAAATTATTTTTTATCTCGAAAAAGTGATAAAGATAGGTATAGGTAATAGTGATAAACGAAGACACTATCCCAGCAAGACCAAATAGTGCACCAGCAACACCTACTCTTCAATTAACAAATCACTATATCGTCAAGAAACAAGAACAAACTGCCATAAACAAACCTAACAATAAAGCAGAATCATCTGTTAAGGTTGCAGAAACTCCTAGAAATAAAAAACAGGAAAAGGAAATTCCTGCAATTGGTATTCCAAAAGTTACTAGGAGCCGAACAGGCTCTAGCTCAAATAATAAATTGTAATTTATTCATTTATTTTATTTTACTTTTAATTAAAATTGTCTCGGTATTTTGAAAATCTTGATGTTTATTTTTTTTTCTCTTTTACTATATATTAATAATCTGTGTTGTTACATTAGGATAATATTAGTGATTCATTATCATAAAACAATATGGATGAGTTTATCCGGAATCTGGAAGTAGAAGATATTGATACAATCGAATTGGAAACAAAATTCTCTGATATATTCCAAAACCATAACAACTCGTTCTCCATTTCACACAATAATATCAGGAGTATTGCCAAAAATTTTGATGAATTCCAGGTATTTATGTCTGAATTCCATGATTGTTCTTTCGATTGTCTGGTTCTAACTGAGTCCTGGAATCAGAATATAAAAGACTACCAACTATTCAACCTTGAAGGATATAACATGTTCTATAATAGCGAAGCTTACAATCAGAATGACGGGGTGGTGGTGTATATAAATAAATATCTACAAGAGGTTCAATGCCAGTCAATAAAAATTAACGATGTCAACGCATTATCTGTTTCAGGTAATATGACTATTCGTAGACAAGCTCTTAAGCTTAAACGGAATCACAGTCATATTTATTTATAATCATAAATCATTTGCCGCCTTTAATATTGTCATATTTTTGTTATATGTATTATGTATTATAATTAACTGTCAGCCATACCCCAGAGGGTATGGCTGACAGTGAGTGAACACAGTTGTTGTGAGCTCCGTGTTTCATATCGAAATAAAGTGGTTAAACTAAAGCCTGAAAAATCTAGTTTTTTAGCAATCATCTGCTAAAATCAAATGTTTAGTTGTGTACGCATTTTCGAACAAATAAGATGGTGATTACACGTGAAATTCGAGAAGAAATCAAAAATAGCGTGAGTACAAGCATTAATTCCATTTTAAAAGAAGAGGGATTCATCAAACTAATAGTGGAAAAAGTATCTGATAGCCTAACAAAAACTCTGGGTGAAAAAATCGGCGAACTGGAACAGAAGATAGACGATATGAACAAAAAATGTAAAGCAAATAGTGCAGTTATTGAAGACTTGAAAGAAGAAACAGCTGTACTCAAATCAGAAAACGAATATCTTTTACAAAAATATGATGAAATTGATCAAGATGCCAGGTCGAGAAATTTGAGAATATTCAAAGTTCATGAGAGGCCACAGGAAAATTTATCTGAAGTACTTATTGAACTGTTTACATCGCGATTGTCGATTAAAATAAATCCAGAAGATATCCTCAGGTGCACTAGATTGGGTAAAAAACAAGCTGACAGATCAAGAGGTATCTTGTTGACGTTGAGCAATTCGAACACGAAGCAGTTGATCTACAACAAGAAAAAGTTGCTCAAAGGGACGGGAATAGTCTTGAAGGAAGATTTGACGGAGAGCAGACTTAAACTTATGGAAGCTGCAATTGAAAAAACTTCACTGAGGGATGTATGGTCCTATAACGGCATTATTTACGTTCCGAAGAACAATAAAAAGTTCTCAATCAGAACAAAAAATGATTTGCAAAAATTTTGATATAGACATATTGTCATTCTAATTTGCTTATTATTTCATTGTCTTCCTATTTATCAATATAACCACTTCCGTATTTCTCATTTTGGTAAAAAATCATATTAATACGAACACAGGAGCTCCGGGAATCAGCTTGGTAACCAAGGAGTACCTAGGCATTATTATTACTAATTATTATTACCAATTTCTTATTATATACATTTATTTTTTTCCATTACTTTTTTTTATTATTTCTTTCTTTTTCCCTAGTTACAAAACTATTTTTGTTTGTTGGTTTCATCTTTATTTTCATAACTCTCTGCGAATAGAGTGCAATATAAGTTATTTTGGTCGTATTTTAAGCTAACATCTTATTGCTACCTACATTACCTGTACTATATTCACTTTGTATGAAATTTGTATGAAATTTATTTTAGATTGCAGACAATTACATTGTCATTAGGAACGGAATGAAGATTGCTCATTTGAATATTAGATCCATATTTACAGGTTTCCAGGATTTCAAGGAAATTGTTTTGGAAAATGATATTGATATTATGTTACTGTCTGAGACATGGTTGGGCCCAGATGATCAGTCTGTTGTGGTAAATATTCCTGGGTATACATTATTTCGTAAGGACAGAGTTGGTAGAGGTGGGGGAGTTGGAGCATATGTCAAGGCATCAGTGATTTGTGAAATTATCCACATTGACATGGTTATGAGAAGTAATATTGAATATCTTTTGCTAAAAATAAGAAACAGGCACCAGAATTTTATTGTTGGAGTTTTTTATAGACCACCCACTGCTGTAATGGGAGATGTAATAGAGGATATTGATAATCTACTTGCTTTAACTTATCATACTGTCGATTGGATGACTTGTTTAGGAGATTTCAATGTGAATTTTTTCAATTTGGATAATCCCTTAATGCACAGCTTCGAATCTTTTGGCTTCTCACAAATGTTGAATGTTGCAACGAGAACCACAAACACGACTAGTACATTACTGGATCTCATATTTGTTTCGACCACTGATATAGTGAAAAAATTTGGTACTTTGCCGGTTCATGGAATATCAGACCATGATTTAACATTTTTTTCTACTCACATAACTAAAAGGGCATTTAGCATACGGATACGTACCACGCTAAATGATCGATTAATCACGGATTGACGATCTGTGATTTATTCAAAATATTAAACACGTTACCATGGCAACACGATTTCTTAAACACATTACCATGGCAACACAGTTCATTAAACACAGCTTCAGTAATTTGAGCGTGTCTGGCCTGTCGATTGTATTAACTGTCAACTGTTATTTCCAAATTTTGTATCAGAATTATTCAAACAATATTCGTTTGTATCAGAATTCTTCATTAAAAATTTATGCGAAATGTAGACGAAAATGAAATCGAAGAAAATGTTCTGGTACTTGCATATCTCCAAGAAGTGGAAACATGAAGCATCCATCTTTGAGAACAATTTATTTATTTTGCGCTAAGCATGACAATAAATGTGAAACAAAGATTAGTTAGCAATGGACTGGACATATCTACAACCAATATTACTTAAACGTGTCTCGCTGGTTGCATGCAGTTGCATGTATTATGATCTCAATTCCCATTCCTTTCGAATTATTCTGTAGGTTAGCCAGGAATAGCAGGTATGTAAATGAAATCGTCGGAGTTCGTAGAAAAATCATAGTATGTAACGCGTTTATAAACTCTTCTAGACACTCGTTTATTAAACACTCGCTCCGCTCTGCTCCGCTCGTGCTTAAAATACTCGTTACTAAAAGGACGTTTATAACACTTGTTACATAATATACTATTAGATATTGACACACCTATCCTCCATAATGAAGCCAAGCTCATAACATATAGATGCTTTCGACACTTCAATATTAATAATCTCTTAAATGACCTACGGGAACTTCCGTGGGACATCATCATAGCAGAAAATGATCTCGATAAAAAAATTGATATATTTAACGAATTCATTCTCCTCGTATTTAATAATGATGCTCCCATTGTCCAAAGAAACTCTACAAAGCCACCAGCACCGTGGCTGACTGATAATTTGATAATCTTGAAGAAAGAGAGAGACAAAGCTTTGCAGAAATACAAAAGAACTAAGCAAGAAAATGACTTCAACAGATATAAGGAATTGAGAAACCACACACTCGCGGTAACCAGGAGTGAGAAAAAGGCTTATCTCAATCAGGTATTTCAAATGAAGAATTCGAGAACTTCTTGGAAAGCTTTAAAAAACATGGGAGTTTGTTCAAACTCTAAAAATATAATTCCAGATAACTTATCGAATCCCAATGCTTTGAACAATTATTTTGCCAAATATCTGCAAAATGTAACTGATAAATGTGACGAGAAAATTAATTTCTATATTAACTCAGTTCACGATCCTCCTATGCAATTTTCATTTAGATTAATAACTGTTGAAGAAGTGAATAAAATTTTGCATAGCATTAAAACAAATGCTTTTGGAGTTGATAATATAAATGCTGAAATGTTAAAATATTGCAGTCCATTCATCGATAAATATATAACTCATATAATAAATTGTTGCATTGAGAATTCTTACTTTCCAGTTTTATGGAAAAGTTCTGTTGGAAAACCTATACCTAAAAAAAGTCATCCGAAGGAATTTACGGATCTTAGAATTATAAGTTTGCTCCCTACCCTATCCAAAGTGTTTGAAAAATTTTTGTATGCACAAATATATGAATATTTCACTTTCAATAACTTACTTCCTGATTGTCAGTGCGGTTTCAGACCAGGCAGAAATACTGAAACATCTTTGGCGACTGTAACAACTGATATATTGAAGGCTTTTGATGAAGGTTTATCTAGTGCTCTGGTACTACTCGATTTTTCAAAAGCTTTCGATACTATTAATCATGAGCTGCTTTGTGCAAAATTGAGATTTTATGGCTTCGATGAATCATCCGTGTTTCTGATATGGAATTACTTTTTGCGTCGTTCTCAAAGAATATCTGTGAATGAGTTATACTCATCCAAACTGGATATACTCTCAGGGGTTCCGCAAGGCTCCATACTGGGTCCGTTGCTATTTATTATATACACTACCGATATTTTAAATAACATTAAAGATTGTAAAGTACAAGCTTTTGCAGATGATACACAATTGTACCTTAACTTTAGCACTGAGAATTTGGTTAATGCCGAGAAAATTATAAATGATGAATTGAAAAATATCAAGACTTCCTCTGATGAACACAATTTGAAACTTAATTCTGAAAAATCGAAAGTATTACTCTTCGGCAATAAAAATAACAGGAATATTGTAAGAAATAATATGACAGTTCAAATTGACGGTTCACCATTACTAGTATGTGATTCAGCCAGTAACCTTGGATTAGTGATCGATGTGGATATGCGTTTCTCTCTTCATATCAAGAGTAACATAAGCAAAGCTTTCGCATCTTTGAAACTCATATATAGTGCCCGCCATTTTCTCAGTGTTAAGATGAAGCGAACTTTATGTGAGTCATTGGTTCTTAGCCACTTCAACTATTGTGATTTTATCTATGGTCCATGCTTAACTAGGGTAGACAAGGAAAAGATTCAGAAAGTGCAAAACAGCTGCTGTAGACTAATTTATGGAATAAGAAAATATGACCATATTTCTCATAAATTTCAAGAATGTAACTGGCTCAACATGGAAAACAGAAGACAGCTCCATTTAGGTACATTCACATATAAACTCCTTAATGATCCTAACCCACCGGCCCTGGTGCGAAATTTCATTCCTAGATCCAGGATACATTCAAAAAATGTCAGGAAAACGTCCACTCTGACCATGCCTCAACACAGAACTGCAATGTTCCAAAAGTCATTCGTATTTAATGCTATTCAAATGTACAATCAATTGCCAGATGAATTCAAAAAATACAATATGAATAAATTCAAATATAAATCAAAAATTCATTTACTTGAAACACAGCGCAATCATTCTTAACCGCCTCTGTATACTACAGCGAGATTGTTCTACCTAGCATCAAGCATTCATTGTATTCATCCCCGTTTAGTGATATTAATTTTATATAAATGTGCACTCTTTCATTCGTTCCTAAATTGTTCTAATTCTATAAATTTCAATAATCCTATATTTTTGGTCTGACCAACATTATACCGAAATAGTTAGTAGTGAATACTGTTAGACATACCACTGTTGTTTTCTTTTCTTTTATGTATATGGAAATTATTTCTCTTGGGCATTGGCCCCCTGTTGGTTGAGTAGAATAGCTTTAAGCTAGACTTCGCCAGCAGTTTACTATAAATTATTTATGTTTATATTGTAATTGAAAATAAAAGGCGTTTATTATTATTATTATTATTATTATTATTATTATTAAAAAAAAAATATATATTATAGGGATTATAGGATTAATATACGGGGTGTTCCATTTAAATAAATGCAGTTGCTAGGACTTTTTGATAGAAACGGCAACGTCGTAATTTCGAAAATATTTTATATCAATAGAACAGGTGATTGAATGTAAGATGCGAAATTTTCAGAAAAATCTTGCGTTACGTTCTCCATAAACGTCTAACCTACCATCGACCGTGAGTTACCCTGTATATAACCCGGGCCATTTCTGGACCCTTGTTTATATGAACTTTTTTTACTACTTTTGTTGAAATCTTTCTATTTCGGGACACCCTGTATAATAACTCTTGACGATACAATTTAGATCGAATAAAAATATCAATGTACTCTAGACACAGTGTCTTTTAATCAATTCCTTTTCAGTAGTAATATCCCTAGGACATTGATAATAGACGAGAAAGCTCGTTCCTTGGTAACAGCTCGAAACCGAAGGCTGTTACCAAGCAGCGAACTTTGAAAATTTGTCATAAAATTATGAGGCATTTGTCAATGTCCGAGGGTTATTCGGCGGAGAATAATTTGAAGTTGTTAAAGTCGATCTTGTTGTCAAAGTGATTGATAATTGCACTGAATGCAGTTATCAAAATTTACTTTCGGCTATGATTGCACGAGTCCATAAAAATTACCGATAATTTTGCAAGAAAGCCTGTCATCTAAAAATTGCAAGAATTTATTTTCATACTTTGGCGAAAGAGCCCGAGTCCGTAGGAATAGTTCACGAAGTAAGGAATTCTGTCTGTTGGATTTGCTATTTATATTCAGTCTGTAGTGCAATTACCGATATATGAGGGAAATATTCAGTATAATTTCTTTTTCAGTGGTTCAGAGATGAAGTTGGTAAAGAAGAACCGAAAGAGTGCCAGATCCTTCTATCGCTCATCGCTCCTCTCGCTCGTGCTCACGGATCTCTGGTCACAGATCTAGAACAGAGATTACACGGTTGGGATGGAAGCGGTGGGCCTAGAGCTGGAGCAGGCCGTATTGCCGATGTTTTATTAGCTCATCTACCACCCCTGCTGCCGGTAAGAAATTATGAAGTGAACTTGACGACACGACATGTCGCAGCGACAATGGCTGCTTAACACAATGTAATCTATATTTAATTTCCCCCCCCCCTCCTCCCTTTTGGGAAACACATTTTAATTTGTTTGTAACGTATTTTACCTCAATGTAGTTTGTTTTAAACTGGACTAAAGATATTTTTGTGGACGAATTTTCCTGTTAACCTGACGAGTACGCACTGATGATGACTTAACAGTCGAACGCACTCTGCTACAAATATTGAATAAATCATTTTGCACGAAATACAAATCTTCCCTTCTTTGGTATTTACAAATTATACATGATTTCACTGGTTCCAATTGCTAATCCATGAAATACCTCACTTTTAGAAAGGAATTTCTATCAACATTAGTCTCAGAAGGCGTTAGAATTGAAAATAAATATGGCATTTTATTTCAGGATGGTTCATCGATTTTGCTGCTAACCTCTATCACTGATTACAAAGAGTTTGAAGTGTAATTGGAATTTACCTTGATGACTTCAGAGCCTTTGATTCTCTTCCAAAATAATAATAAATAATATCATTTCACCTTTTTAGAGCGGCACCATTTTTTTAATGACTATTCCACTCTTGGTCTCTAAAATCAATCAGAATCGGCCCATTTTGACGGTTTTTCTGTATTTTATCGGAATTGCTCTACCAATACAGGAGCCGAATTGATCCACAAGTGACCAACATTCCTCGTTTTTCAGCGATGGCATTTTGAGGAAGCCAGAATGATGGATACAGTGTGCGCAACTCTCGCGAGCCGCTCGTTTCTTGTCTCAATCATGGAATACTCGTACGAATACAACTCGTGATACTATTTTCCAGGAAATATTCCTCGATTGACTTACTTTAGCTTGCTGCTACAATTTCTCACATGGCATTGTTCTGTGATTGAATAACACATTCGGTGAAATTATTAGGCAACAAGCTGTCGTAACAATCGCCGAATATTTCCGGCAAAATAGTATCACTTGTGGTATTACATATGACTATTACAATATATATTTCCCAATTCATTCCTCCGATGGAAGAATAGGAGATTCATTAATACAACTTTCGCACCTTCTGCTGCATCAGGAAGTGTTTAATAGCTCAGCTACAGTATTTTTCATCATGCAAGAATAGGTTTGTAGAAGCGATGCGAGCGTTTTTCCAATATTTTCGGTTACGAGACTACAAATGCTGTCAAATGATGACATTTCATCGAAGAAAATAGAAATATAAAAACAGAAAATATAAGTTCAAAGTATAACTTCAAAGGAAGGTTGAAACTACGCTTCCTTAAAAATTTATAGGGAAGTGAGCACTTCCCGGGCGCTTTTTCTTTGAGAAAGTAGCATTTTTCCGACCTAGTCCGGGAAGTATGATATCGTTGCTGTCACTGTAACTATGAAAATCTTAACCAACGTAGGTGATCCATAACTATGAAAATCTTGGTAGATATCATAGTGGAAGGAGAAGATGGTGTGCCTACGCGCATATTATGTGACGTCATCTGGGATACCAATATCAGCTGCTAGTCACAGACAGATACCGTTGCCATGGGCGTGCGCAATGAATTCAATCATGTTTATTGAAATTTCTATGAGCTTCTCGATCTGTTTAGAAATAATTCAATTTATATAAACAGGTACCTATTCCTTCGATTTTACTATTTCATTGATTCTGGAAATTGTGATCTTGAGGTAATTCGCAATCGCAAATAGCAAATACTTACGAATTCTCATGCATTGCCAAGTATCAATTTTTGCCGTTTTTGTTATTCAAATCTTTGCTGCAATTTATATTTTGTGAGAAATTAAGAGTTTTGAATTCATTTTCAATTATTTTTGACTTGATATTCGACGGAAGACGTTCTGTTGGAATAACATCTTGTTTCGAATATTTGTGATTTTTTGGAGGTGTAAGTCAAGAACCGTACTTTCGCAGTTGTTTGGGAACATTTTGCATGGGAATATTTTGAAGAAATACGTGCTGTGATATGAATGTGATGATAATATGATAGATGAATACTTTGGAATGAGGATACAAGGAAAATATAAGGTAGGTACCATTTTTTGAGTTTATATTCTGTCGGCAGCAAGCTCCCATCGTTTCGTCAGGTCTCCATTCTTGGAAAAGCTAGTTGGAATTTCCATAACCAGAAACGAAACAAGTGGGCATTTCGAAATTATTTCATTCAATTTTAATACTTATATAATATCTGAAGTTCGAGACATCAATCAAGAAAACAAATAATAACAATATCCCAGCTGACGTCATGCGCACAACAAGACGAGTTTGAGCTTCCTGTTGAGCATACCATCTTCTCCTTCCACTATGGTAGATATGGTTTTGATAAATGCAGATGATAGTTACCATATCAGCGAAATATCGGCTGACACCTATTTGACATGAAATTAGTTGACATTTCGATTTTTGAAAGTTTGGTTGCAATTATCGCAATAAACTATCGAAAGCAGCTGCGACGACGACGAAATTCCCAATGTAACAGTTAGTAGGTATAGGTATTCTGTTGAAAGTTTCAGTATTTGATACAAATGAGAATTAATAAAGGTGAAATTGTATTCTACAAAGAAATATGTTATGGAAATTTGTCTCATTGATTTGTTATTCTACATGATTGCCGAAAAGATAATGTACGCAATACGTTCAAAAACAGTTTTTTTGGACTCGCAGACTCCCAGGACTCGCCTACGGCTCGACCTAGAATTTTGTCGACTCGTCCAAAAAAAAAAAATACAGTATTTTCCGGACTTGTTACGTAGATTACTATTTCAGATCTACGAGGAATATCTAGACGGTCACATGTTGGTCCTCGAAACCCTGGACACAGCCTTCAAACAGAACAACCGCTTCGAGAAGCTGTACCGCGACTTCGAGACGCAAAAGGTGTGCTACCTACCGTTGACCACCTTCGTTCTCAAGCCTCTGCACCGCCTCCTACAATATCAGTATCTGCTGCAACGACTGCTGAAGCACTACGGGCCGAATCATCCTGACAGGTCAGATTTTTTTTACAAATCTGTTTTATTTTCAATTCATGTACAAAAGTTGATAACACCAAAACAAAAATGTTTTTCTTACCCTTCATCACTTATAATAGCTATTAACATAACGAGATTATTATGAGATTTATTATAGTCGAGGACATTGCTAGGTGACGAGGCGACATTAACGCGCTCGCTTCGCTCGCACGTTAAAATATCTCGATCATTAATCGCCCCCATTGTTAGTTGGTTAAATAACTATAATGCAACAGATATAACAGGATTGAATGAAAAAAGGTTGCTGTGGAAATACTGTTCATTTGACAAACGTCAAATAGTGATGAAGTTGTAGATTATTATTGAAGGTTTTGGGTTACAATGGCAAATTGGCCGGTTAATCAACGGATCTTTGCTGTAAAATCATTTATCCTGACCCAGTCCATCGTGCGAACCCAGAGGCGTTTTCTCCGTTAATTTGGCAGGGCCGGCTGAAGTCCCATCAAGAAATGCAAGAAATGCTTCTCCCTGTTCATTAAATCATGTTTTCCGAACCATGGAACGATTTGTAAGATCGAATGGTAAAACTGCATTTAGCATGCGATGGGTTTTTTTCGAAAATTTTTTTTGGTACTTACGTATTTTTGTCTGAAAAACACGAATTTGATAACGAAAATGTGAACAAACCATTATTTATCAAGATATTTCACTATAAAGTTTCAAATTTCACCTTCTTTTCCGCCTGTCTTCTGGATTGAATTTTAAACAATTCACCCTTCTTTTTTCATCATTGGACAATTTATATATATCACAATGTAAGACACATTTTTTTCTATTATTGAGTCAACTAGAAATATGATTTTCTTGTGATTTATCCATATTTATTGAAAAGAAGGAAGAATATCATTTGAAATAATGGCGTGTGTAATGTCATTCCAAAGCAATCTATTGACATTTGACATCTCGTATTTGGATTGCCTATGGATAAAATGGCCGTCATCTGGTATGCTTGCTCACTAAATAGGAAAAACTCACCATAAAAATCATATTTCCTTTTGAATTTTCTGTATAAAAATGTGTCATTGAAGTACATCATGAGTATATAAAGTGTCCAATGACAAAATAAGAAGAGCAAGTACCTGAAAATGCATCCAACGCAAGGGGAAAAAGGAGTCGAAATTTCGAACTTTTTTTTGAAATATCTCGATAAATAGTGGTTTGTTCACATTTTCATTATCAAATTCGTGTTTTTCAGACAAAAATACGTAAGTAAGCATGCTAAATGCAGTTTTACCGATCGAATCACTCTTAGATATCAAATTTCATGACTAGGATCAATGATAACAGAGATAATTGAAGAAACCGGCATTTAAGGACCTGCACAAAGAATGCAGCGAGAGACGCAGGAATCCAATTTTTCAGGTAGGTGAGATAGGTACATTGTGATCTGAAGGTACTGTAGTCACTCACATTTTGAAATTTTCTTCTGCAATCGGAGCTAATAGATATATTGTGAAGTTTCTTAAAAAAGGCAAGATTATTGGATTCGTGCAATCAAACGGGAGGACTGGTCTGACCTGCTGACGAAAGATGATCGTGTGTGTTGTAGACATTTTCACTCCATTAGCAGTATTATCTTCTATTGCAGAAGTGGCAGGAATTCTAATGAGACTTGCCAAAATTTCATAATGAAAACTATGTGAGATCACTATTTACACAGCCGGTTCTATTTCACCTGAAAATCATATTCCTTCGTCTCTCGCTGCATTATTTGTGCATTGTACAACAGCACAATGTGATGGCATGCTTGAATTAATGAATAGGAAAGGAGGAAAGTGATATGGGAAAGCGCCTGATTGTCAGATACGATCTCAGAGGTTGAATTTTCTGTCAAATCAATCATAGACGTAGATGGAAAATAGAAATAGGGTATTAACACCCACCTCAATTTTTAGCGATATGGCACTTTTCGCAGAACAGTCATAAAAATGAGAAGAATGCATGTAACAACATTTCAATATGACAATATGATATACAGGTCGGATTGCCTGACGGCCAGTAACACCCTGAAGGATCTGATGCAGCCTGTGAGCGAAACTTTGGAGCAGTCGGAGAACTTGGCAACGTTGTGCGAGTTGCAGAGGGACATTGTCGGTTTCGACGGTCTGATACAGCCGGGCAGGCAGTTCATAAGGCACGGGTGTCTCCTGAAACATTCCAGGAAGGGGTATCAGCAAAGAATGTTTTTCTTGGTGAGTGAATATTTTTCCAATCATAAGAGGAATTGAGAGGATATTATTGTGCGGAAGGTTATGGAGTTTGGAAACATGGTAGGTTCGAAGACTTGTGTTCTTATTAATTATCCTAAGTTTGGGACCTCGGGTGACATTCCTGTACGTTTTGGAGATGAACTATCTCATTAATAAATGGATATTTTGAAATCTGCTGCAAAGAAAAACAAATGCAGAGGAGTAGGCAAGAATTCAAAAGTCTAATGAAAAACTGTTTTCTCACAATTTTTTCACATCATCTGCAAATTAATATGTTTGTGGTATGTTACATAATGGAATTTTGTTTTTTCAAATGTCCTGACCCCAGCGTTTCACAGATAGGTACTCAGCGGTGCAATCTTAGTACTAGATTTATTACTTTTTTGTATGTTGTCCAAACTTCTTATAATGTCCTAGGATTTAGCATTTTTCAGTCTCATTTTTATTCTGTGTTCGGGGTGTTTCTGAAGTTGACGGCAATCCTTGAAATGGGGCGTCAAATAAATAAATGGCAAAATGGTGTGTTTTTGAAGCAGTGTACTTTTCTTCAAATCAATTTTACATCCAGGCCGTTTCGTACATCGTTCCATATGAAAATGGTTGATATTTTCATCACAAAATTCAATAAATGAAATCTATTCTCTTCAGAATTTTGAAAATTATATTTCAATTCTGACGTTCATGAAATGTATTGTCAAATTCAGACAATTTTGAAAGAAAAAGCGCGGGACGACTATGGTGCTCTTGTCACAATGCAAGGTGTGTAACATAAATCTAAACATTCAAAAACACTAACAGTTGTCATTTCTGTGTCCGAGCTCTTATCTAACTAATAACATCCAGTGACTCTATTATTTACTAATACCATCCAGTGACTCTAGGGAGAGTTTTTGATTGCCGACCGATTGCGACCACTTGGACCACACTTCGACCGCAGGGTTTTCAATTGATGTCCGCTTTGACCGATCTCCGAATGGTATCGTTTTTTATTGAAGACCCTGGAACGGCCGATCCGAGACCACATCACCCGGGCTTTTTGATGGTCGATGTAGTTCAAGGATATAAAATATAACCTCATAACAATCCAATTACTCGAAAAGTGGCAAGGGTTTCTACAGTCTTTAGAATGAGTTGACAAAAATAGCGTTACATCACTGTATGCTTCCTTCCGAATAAATATTTCTGGTAGGCAGTTCAAAATTATCATTCCATCCACAAAATCTATCTCGAGGAGTTCAATGACTGAAAAAAGAGATAATTTCTGATATATCTGATTTTTAGTATATCAGTATATGTGTTATTTTCGGTATATTATCGATTGAGCTGTGAAGTTCACGGTTTTCAAGGTTTTTGTCGTTTTTGTATACAAGCGACCAAGTGGAAACGATTCGTATTTGTCAATTTGTCATTGTGATCAGTCACGTGACATTAACGACGGGACGGTCAGAGACCCTATTCTCAAACGGTGAGATATTTTGTCGCATGCGAGATTTCTATATTGTCAAACAAAAATCGTGAGTGCTCATTCTCGATAGACAAATTTTAAATATTTAGATAAGGAATCAGTGAGAGAGTTATTGCATTGCACTGCTAGAACCATTTGTGGATACAGGGACATCGGTCTTGTAAATTCTTTTTTTTGCCAGATAAAAGTGGCTTAATCTCTTTATCTTTTATCAAGTTGAGTGTTTCCTTTTGAGATGAAGCACAATAACTCTTTTTTTATTCCACTGCCAGTATTTCAAATTCCAACATAACATTGACATAACCTCCATCATAACAAAGAAAAAAGAAACCACATGGCACAGAACACATTCGGGAATCGGAAATTCAAGGTTGCCAGGCCATGCTAATCGACAAAAGTTGTTGTTCTCTGGTATTGTGTTCTCACTGCTCAAATCATAATATTTTAACTGATCTATCTATCTACATTTGAAATTTTCTGACGTCTGTCATGTCAATTTTTGTATAACCTTCATTTTCATGCACGTGTGATTCTTTCAATTTATCAGGTTAATTTTGATGCCTCATCAAACTTTTTAGTTTGATTTTTCTAAGTTTAATTATCACCTTTCGGTGATTCAAGGGCACGTGGACCCTTGTAAAATATGAACCCGACCCTTAACTGATAAATTTGTGACATAATAAATTTATAACATAATTTTATATCATTTAACAGTGACGGTAACTTTTTCATGTGCTTTCACTCTGTCCCTTAATATTTCTAAATCAATTGTTTTCCAGATCATGGAGCATATTCCCCTGTTTGCAGTGTTATTAACTATACTATTTGTATGTCTACTTTTTTCATTACCATGTACTAAGTAATTCTTGCATCTATATCCTAAGTCAATACCGATTTTGCTAGAACTATGATACTTTCTATTGGATGATGATGGGCTTATATGAGCCCGAAACATGTTCCTTTACGATTGATCTTCTATCATTCTAATAAATGTTAGGAATATGACTTTGGGTTTTCATCTATGGATTGTCTCATGCGAATTTGAAGTCGAAAGCAATGGAGAATACCACACTCACACTTTGTGCGACAATTTATATCGAAATATGTCGAATTCGACATATTTCATTCGACATTTGAGAATAGGCCCCCAGGCCGGTCGGCAACCAAATATTCTCTCTAGAACGTAGTATAGTGTGTACAACCCCACTGTAACATTCCAGTTCACCGACATTCTTCTGTACACCTCCCGTTCGCAATCGACGCTGCAATTCAAAGTGCACGGCCATATGCCTTTGCGGGGCGTCATGATCGAGGAACCCGACGGCGATCTGATGTTCAACGGCCTGATAATTTACGGGGGCAACAGGTCCTTGACGGTGGCGGCGAATTCGGCCGAGGAGAAGGACAAATGGAAGACGGACCTGCAGAATGCCATACAAGTGGCAAAGAACAAGCTGGATACGAAGATCACCTATTTGAGCCTCAAAAGTTGCAGTAAGTAATCGGTCGAGTTTCAGATATTTCATTGTGGAGTAGACTTGTATTTTTCAATCTCACATTTATCCTCATAATTTTGAAGTCTTATTTCTGCGGTATCTCATAGAATATCAAATTTTAATGTTTAATGGCAATATACACAGTTTGGTGTGATATAAACCCAGATATTGCCACTGTCCTTTTAAAAGCCAAACCTGTCATGTTGCCAGAACATTTTTTTTTCGAAAATTGATTTCAAGTTCAAAAATTACACTCTTCGCCATGGAAAATAAACAGGAAATCCTCAAATTCATCATCTCATGAGTCACTCGAGAGAAATTAGGTGTCCTTTTAAAAGGACAGTGGCAAAATGGGCTGCTATCATCTAGCACATAATTTTTCGATATCGAAAACAAACCAGCATGGATATATATCAGTAAGTGAGTATATTTAACTCTATAACTCATGAAGTGAACATACAACTTAAAAAAAAATGAATAACTCTCATAATAGAAATCTTATCAAACTAGTTTTTCGTGTGGAATTGCTGAAAACAATCCTTGGGAAGTAAACCTGCTGAACATTTTTTACAAAAAAAATTGCTCTTTTTATGACAGAGATTCAGCGAGTTTGCTTGTCTTGGTAAACAACCAGGTGATCTACTCCATCATACTTGGAGAAGGAATGGACTTCTTTTGGAAGTTTAGAAGTTCTTCCTTCCGATTTCTTCCTGAAGGATTCTAGTAATCCTACGGCAATGGAACGTCTGAAACTGAGATGATCCAAATTTTCCAAAGTCAAATTCATGAAGACGCCATGAGTTTTGTTTTGCCATGTCAACAAAGTGACAGAAGAGAGGAAAATACCACTTTTTGCCTCGAATGGAACATCTATATAAGCTAATATTTTGATCTGCTCGATCAACTCCTCCCATATTTTCATTATATAGTTTTATAATGTGTGGCTGTGGAACCAGAATGAGTTCCTTATGTTTCTTAGAAAATCGTTCGATCTGGATAGCTGGGAAAACCATTGCATGATTTGAAGCGATGTTCACAATACAGTCGTCATACCACTCACACACGATTATCTCACTATCTACCCTCGATTGAATTGTTTCATTGGGTGTCTTATATAGTAGGGCACCTACACTGTGATGCTCGGCTGGTGGAGCCATATCCATGCTGAACTTCTTATTCAATAGATTGATCAGGTGGCGAAGTTTTGCAAACCTGTCATCAGCAGCAAGATTTGCATTGTCGCAACAATGTAGATTTTGCATTATGTGTCGAAATAAGTTTCTCGTCATCGCGTTACAGACCAACTTATTGTTAGTATCAGGCGAGTTTTACCAATGTTAGGTGTACTCGAAGACATTTGAATCAATATTGAAGAGATTATTCTTTATTTTGTTGGGCCATTATAATAAAATTATATGTTTGGGAATCATCTAGTTTTAGCAGTTCATTTTGCCACTGTCCTTTTAAAAGAACAAACATAAAAACACGATTCTGAATAAAAACCCATAACCTATATCAAGATGATAATGGTTATATAAGAGATACCCCTTGTTAATCTATACAATTTTCTGAGTTGTTTTTCTATAGTGGATTTATTCGAAAATATAACTTTCCTAGAAGAATTCATGTTTCTCGGCAATTTGGCACCAAAATATGAAATCACCTGTTTACAGAACACCAATCGCGGAGAATGAACGCTAGGCACCACACGTGCAGGCGATTGAGAATGGATTAATGTAAAAGTAGTGCAGTAGTTGCCCTACAGGGGCCTATTTCGAGATGGCTTCTAAAAGGACAGTGGCAGAATATGATATTACTTTTTTTTCGAGAACTGGTGGGGAGGTAGCTCAGAACCAGGAGAAGGTTATAGGATACTTTTTATCCCGGTATTATTAGGAAATTCAAGATGGCGGATCTAATATATCGGACGAGTTTTGCAATTATGGTCCGATTCTATTAAAAAATGGTATCTAGGGGTTTTCGTGGTCGGAGGTTATGATTTTTTTCGTCAGAATTTGAAAATTCGGGCGGTATTTGGAAATTCAAGATGGCGGAACCAAAATGCGGACGAGTTTTGTAATTATAATCCGATTCTTTTCAAAATTGGTACTAGTGGTTTTCGTCATCGACATAACTGGAAATTTCAATGTGCAAAAAATTGGTTGGGGAACCAGTGTGATACTTCTTCAACGATTTTCATTCCGATTAAAATAGCTATGTTAATAAAGGAACACAGTTCCTAGAACAACACAGTATATTATGTCCAATTCTTGATAATATTCGGAGTCTAGAGACATATTGAGAGTCATTCTCACATTTTTGAACATTCTCTTATATCTTTGATAATGCAAGTGTTTGCAGTTTGCTATAAAAACGTTTTCATGATGGTAGGTTCGTCAGATGAACACGTTGACCAATGTGGCAATAATGATGTTGGCACCCAAACCAGGTCACAGGCTCAAAGAAGCAACACTACAGTACACGTTTGCTGGCATAGAAGTACAAGTATTAGCATGAAGGATGAACTGATGGCTGTTGAGGTAAATATAAAATAATGATATAATTCTGGAGGTGCTGTATGTTATGCTCTTTCAACCCCTGAGGAACTACACAATAATTTGATATCGTAGACGAGAAAACCAATGCTAACAAACACGTTTTCCATCTTTCATTCGCGGTACCACGCGTGTGCATAACATATGTGTTTGGTATAGAGCTATCTAGAAGTGTTCATAAACAAGTTTGATACAAATTCTCATTATCTTCATTACAATTTCAAGAGGCAATACTCAAAATATGTGGTTGACCGTTGTCAGCTAGTCTAAATTTTACGAAATCACGCTAAATGCAGATGGGCTTCAGGAGTTATCAACTAATAACAATAATTTTGTTTCTGTGATAGGAAACAAGTTCTTTTTTGCCGGATACATCAAGCTTGAAATACATAGGTATTAACACTAATTTATTTTCAAAGTTAAAGACTTTACTGCAGTTATTCTTCCCAGAACGATTGTGAATATTTGCCACATAACTTTTGATATTTTGGCATTCAGTGACAATACATTTAGATATTGTACATAAACAAATCGCAATTTTCAACGTTTTTCGAATACCATTTTCACGAGTAGGCCTAATCAATATTCAGAACTGATGTTTTATGTTCAGAAATCATTTCATTTGGAAGATATCACAAGTGTTTGCTTACTATCTCAAAATTATTAGACGTTAGATCTCAAGTATGTGAAACTGCTAGTGGTTTGAAAATGGGGAAGTTTCCTTCAGATGGATTTTCAAAAAATAGGTTTGGAACTACTCCGTTTTATCTCCATGCTGTATGGAATGGCGATCGATAAAGTCCTGATCGTTTTTATTTTCAAAATAAAGCAATTTCTCATTTTCGAGGCGGCAAACTATGACGAACATTCTGAACATTATGAACATGAAAAAATGGATAGGTACTTATTAAGAAATACATTGAGAATTCATATTCTCTATCTGATGAAAATATGAATTCTTTCTTGGTATATTCAACAGAAAACAACTACTTTCCTGGCTATATGCCACGAAATAAAATCTTCTGAAGTTGAGAATTTGCATTCTCCTTCAGATGAAAATATTTATGGTGGAATATTGCCTCGTCGAATTACATTTTTTGTTGAACACCTGTACGATGAATTTCAATTCATCATGCACTATAAACATTAACTAACCAACAAAACAACTATAGATATAGGCTAACAAATAACTGGAGATCAGAAATCGGCACAAATAAAATTTATAAACAAATACATACATATTACATATCACAAAATCGGATCAGCTCTTGCCTGTCAGTATTTTGTGTGGTGTGGACGGGCTCAAAGTATTGAGCTGCGTTGTTGGAAGATATAATGTGTAACTTTCTGAGAAAATAGATCCGTTTTATAAATTAACGAATTCATTTGAAAAAAATTACTGACAAGTTATAATTATACTTTTGTAATAAAACGAAAGTGAAAAATCATAGATACTATTACAAAATATCATAATTTATTTTCATTAGTAATCAACTTCATCCAGCAAATAAGAGATTTTCGAAAATCATTCGTAATACTCGATGAAATAGGATTAAGAAATTAATTATATCCCATTTGCTGTTGATGTATTCAAAGAACAATTTCCGGAAATCTAGACATTTTGATGATGCCGGCAACGTCGTACTGACACGAATCGTTTTTCAACTCTGTGTGAATTTTGCTTTTCATAAAGTACATTATAGGAATGATGAAGGAGCCAAGTTCCTAATTAATTTTTTTCAAATGAAATTTGATCATACGAAAAAAAAATTACCTATATATTCAATTTTTCAAAACTCCACAGTGATATAAAAACCTCAATATTGAAAACGTCCTCATTGTGTTGCTACTCGCTTGATCTATTGTTGATACTGAATTATAAAACAAATATATGATTCTTTTTAATTTTCAGAACCAACTTTCTGGATATCTTTTGAGAAAATTCAAAAGCAGCAATGGTTGGCAGAAACTGTGGGTGGTTTTCACGTCTTTCTGCTTGTTCTTCTACAAAGGTTGTCTCGACGAATTTCCTCTAGCTTCATTACCGTTGTTGGGTTATTCTGTCGGGCCACCATTGCCCGAGGATCAGATAGCTAAAGATTTCGTTTTCAAGTTGCAGTACAAGAATCATGTTTACTTTTTCCGTGCCGAGTCCGAATATACTTACAATCGGTTAGTATGTCAAACATTTGTTTCTTTATTATTATTTCTATTATTCAAACGAAATTACACTCATAATTGAATCGGAACAGTGGAACTGTTCACGTTCCAGGTATCCCCGCAAAGTGTTGATTATTTTTACATGGGGCTGGTGAACTGTTTTTTTTTCTTTATTTTCAATCACTGATATTTTTAATTTTTTCATTCTTTAAAAACTGTCCAAGTGGTTTCAAGGTATCAAAATCACAAATGACGTCACAGTCTCATTCAAATGGTCGAAATTCGCCACACGCAACTACTGACATCACGACACAGTGAATGAACAAGTTCGTTGAAAGCTTGATATGGCCAGTACGGAAAAGACGCATCTGAAAAACACAATCCACGTGTCGGACCTTTTCTCCTAAAAATGATGACGTCATCATTATATGAATAGCATCATTTTGAATGAAGTATCTTTGATTTCTCGAAAATATTCGTTAACTTTAGGAAATTTAACTCAAAAAACTGCCAGAAACAATTATTATATCTTTTATGCGCTAGCGGGCCGTAAAGTGCACTTTACCGCCCGGCTTTGCGGGCGTTAAGTTGCACTTTACCGCCCGCTGTTCTTAGTTTTCTTATATCGTCATATCAATTCATGAAAAACCTATGATCATTTTCCTGGATTTCAATATATCCACCGGTATATCATAAACTTCTTCTTTATCCGATTCCATAGTCTCGCTATTATTATTATCATCACTAATTTTTACTTTTCAGTCAAAGAATGACAATTCAGCTTGTTGATTGTATGTATTGCTATAGACAACAACCATCAGCTTGCTTGACAACGTCAAAATTAGGTAGGTATATAATATACTGGGTATGCATATTGTAAAATTCTGGAGAATGAATCTCTTCTAGAGATCAGAGTTTTACTATTACGATAATTGCAATATTCGTACGATGATTTTTATATGTAAAACATCCATGAACATTACGCTCCTCTTGATAACTGAATTTATACGTAACAAATTGAATTCGGGGGAATATTAGTTTATCGAAATCTATAGTCATTAATTTTGAGTCAGAAAATAAACTAGTGCATAAAATTTTGTATGTATCACGTGCGTGAAATGCGTTTATGGCCTTCAGCGTGTAATGGCCCTCGGCTAGCGCCATCTTTACGCCCTTGATACATAAATAACTATTAATTTCCAGGCAACAAAATTCTCATTCGAATGTCAAGTTCACATCGACAAAATAAAGCTCTACTGCAATTATAAATGACAAAACTACTTCCTTTGAGTAGCCTTATCATGCTACTAATCACTTGAATCACTAATTATTGACAAAAATCAGATTTTCTCCGGAATATAATAATCTTCGCGAAAGTTATTCAAATTAATTTTTTCAGTGCTAAAATTCATCAAACTACTTTAAATAAAATTCAGTCGGAGTTACAATTGTGAGAAATCAAAATGAAATTCGAGACACATGTGTAAAATTGGAATATTAACAACTTTTCTTGAGTGACTTTTTTGAATTTGAAAAATGAGTAAATTTTCATGGAATAATTTGAAAGAATGCAACTTTTGACCTCTAGCAGAAGTCACTTGACTCTGACCAAGTAGGCCATTTTATCATATTTTATGAAGCAAAAAACACCTAAGTCAAATTTCAAAATGTATTATTATTCACGATAGAAAATAATAATAACACGTTGCTCCACCTGACGGCAACAACTTGAACACTTCTGAGCGGTTTGTTTTGATGATGTGACCAATAAGCACGAACAAAAAACAAATGTGAACCAATGGAAACAATGTAAACAGGCTGCTTTGAAAGCTCTCAAGATCTCCGATAGGTGCCGATAGCTTATTTTCTATCGCGAATTGAGTGTTTCCCATATGACGCAAACTTTATGAATGACACTATACTTGATTTTTTCGGATTTGCTTTATTTGTCATCATAATATTGCTCATTGAACAAAAGTTTTCAGTCAAATGTGACTGATCTGGGTGTCAAAAAAACTCAAATTGTGATGAAGGACTGCTTCATTCACTCACATCTGACTAAACCTGTCCCGGTCTGCGGTAGTCAGTCACTACACATGATCTCGCAATACCTCCATTTTTTTTCAACTTTTGGATGCTCATTTTTCAGTTTGAAACCACTGAAAGACAGTTGGATTGAACTTGAACATTTGTATTCAATGATTTTTCTAATTCTTCTAACAAACAACTCATTAAAAGACATCCGCTATGCTATGCGTCATTGAGAAAACTGTCTTTAATGTGGAATTAATTCGTTGAGAGATTCATGTTTAAGTATATTTTTTTTATTTTCAGGTGGTTGGAGGTTATTGGTAGCGCCACACAGTGTAGAACTATGAAGAAACCAAATTCAATCAATGACAACTTGATTGAAGCGATGAAAGATAAATGAATATGTATATTTTACACTATTCCCCAAAAAAGGTGATTGAAAACTGTCAAATAATAATCTAGTTTTGGCAGCTGTATTCTAATTTTAGACTGATATAATGTTTTATCAACTAACAAAACGATTTGTTAATGTACGTGAATAGTATTTTTGATAATTTGCAGGGAGGTCTATTTTTAATTATTAAATTTATTAATTCAATTTACAAACCTAATTTTGAATTGTGCATTTTGTACTTGGGTATGAAAATTCCTATAGGCTGAAAAAATTCATTCCTAGAATTATTTTCTAAATATTTTCTATTTTTATCATATTTCTTTGTAAATATGTATATTTTCTGATGAATGTACTTTTTATTATATTATGATGAAGCAGAATGGTTATTGCAATCATATTTATATTGTGATTCACTTCTGAACTATTTATTTGTGGTTGAAAAGACAAGTCAAAAATTGTTCTGGAACATTGTATTTTGTTGTATTTTAATAAACAATTTAAAACAATACCTAATTATGTTTGAATTCAGTAGTCTATCTAAAAATTCAAGAATGCCTAAAATGCCTCAAACAGTTGATATAATTGGCCTGTTCAGAGAACATATATTTCATCATTTGAACTCATTCTAGTTCAATATATAGCAAACCTTTTTTTTTTCAGGGCTTTGTAATTATTTTGATTATTCTTTCACATGTCAAAATGTGACGTTTCCTTTGTTTCTTCCGATCTATCCTATTTGTAAGTAACAATAATAGTCATTTTTTCTGTGGCGGGAAAGAAGTTTGGCATTTCATCTGTTGACAGGTTTATAAAATGCCACTTTCCATAAATTACTTTTTTCCCGTGGGAAAGAAGTGAGTACTATTTTACCGGATATATATAACATATATATATACATTATTGATGGCTTTTGTTGTGCTATAGTTCCGAAAAATGAGTCAATAATACCGTCTCCGAGAAAGAACTGCAAGTCCATTCGACTTCGCGGTTACGTATATTACTAAACAACCACTAAATTCGCAATTTTTTGAAATCAAATCACAGAATTAGACTGACAGAAGTGACATTAGATATTTGATTACTTCAGAAGAATGATGAAGATGCCTACAACGCAGGTGTCCCTACTGTTAAAAAATTTCATGTCGATAATTTTCAGATTTCAAAATAATGTAATATCTTCCCAATATATTGATTCGTCCTTTCTCCTGTCACAGAAAAAAATAGTGTATTATACACGGGAAAAATATAAGATTTTAGCTCACGGTTTTTTGTCTCAATAACACAATCGGAGCTAAAATCTACTACTATCAGTTATCGGTCAGGATTTTGATATTGTGTGAATTTTTTTCACCACTAGCAATATATTTCATTCATTTTAGTTCTGTGAAACCGAAATATGGACTATTGTCACTATAAAAGGAATATTTTCAATGATTATAGCCATGACCAATGAGAGCATATGACAAGTCGTTATAGATAAATACTATAGGTAGATTCCAGTGCCATTTCTGCGAATATAAAAAATGTTATCTTCCGAATATGAATGATTTTGAAGTGGCATATAAATCCATTATATAATCTGAAGGAACATCAATCCTCTCAACCGATTAATTCCCGAACAACAAGTAGGACTGATTCCAATATCGATAGTAAGTATACGGGATGGGGTGAAAAGAAAGATATATAGTGGCACCGTTGAAGTCTGCATCATATGTTTTTTTTATCATTCAGTTCATACTTTGAAAATAATGCAAAATGATGTTCATAATTTTTTTGATCAATCGATAACTGTCGAATTAGTCATTTCCTGTCAGAAAATACAAAGTCGAAAATGTTATCTTCCGAATACAAAAATGTATATAACTACATTATTAGCTGAAAGAACCTAACAGAATGTTCCTGATATATATGTCGATTTTCGATATCAATTTGCATAAACTATTGTATTTTTGCCAACGCTGTACCAATTCGGATTAACAAGTGATGCATTTTTGGAATAAGCTAAGCTGGAAAAATCTGAAAAAAATACGTATTCCCTTCCAAAAACTATCGTATCACCAGTTGTTGTTCTAAAAAAAATTGTTGTTGTTCTAAAAAGCTTTCTACGAAGTGGAGATTCTGCACCGTCGTTCCCATAAACCTCTTCAATTTCGCTGACTGTTCAAAATCCTCTTTGTTACATTTGTTCATTCCCACATTCAGACAGATTTATAACTTTGTACTAGAGGAACATCTAATAAAATTCGCCCTCTGCTTTTGTACTTTGACAAATAAAACTGTTTTTGAATAGGAAATTTGCTTGTTTCAATAAAACTCACTCTATATATGATTATTCATTATTAAAAAAACTGTAAATTTGATCAAAAATCGACCAATTTTAGCCCATTTTATTTTCATAGAAATCGTTCAAACCTCGATTCATCGGTAAGATATTCCATTCAATTTTATGTGTTCAAGCATGATATACCAAATTTCGAATAATTATGTATCTATGGATCTACAAAAATGGTATCTGCAAGTCATTCAAAAACCTATTTCAAGTACCTCTGTATTAGTAGAGAAAGCGAATTATTTCATCCTAAATGAATAAGAAATTTCAAAATATTTGTGTGAACTCTTAACAAAATGGCGAATATTTGCTCAACGTGTTGCATGTAGTTCATCCGTAAATATACGTGAAAAAAAGCTAATTTCAAATTTTGTCATGGTTATAATAATATGGAAATATACCGAGGCAAAATATCAACAACGTGATGAATACCCATCCCATATCATTAATACATGAAAACACTTACCATCTTGAAAAAAGACCAGTTCTACACACTCAAATGAAAATACAATCACCAAACCAGAGGAATTTTAATTTTTCACTTTCGAATAATTCGGGTTCTTATTGTTTTATATTGAAACGCCATCAGTACGCGATGAAATCTAGAACGAGACTGCTGATTGGTTTGATTCATCATTCTGATGACTAAGTAGTTACGTCATCCTTTTAACCGATTAATTCCTGAACAAGAATGACTAATTTCAATATCTATTATATAGGTATACGGGGTGAGGGAGAAGAGATTTAATATACAGTGTCACCGTTGAAGTCTGCATCATATGATTTTTTTACTCTTAAGTTTGGGCGAATTAGAATTTCATGAACAGTTCTTCGGAAATACTGGCGAATCAGACATTTTCTGTCAGAAAATCACAAAGTTGCAAATTTAGGGTGGAAGAAAGCCTCTAAATTGAATGATCCACCCAATTTGGTAACTGGAAGATGTCGGAGGTGTACTACGAAACAGTTGGGGAAATTGATATATTTGAAAGTGAGCGAGAGTATTATAATTAATATAGGGAAGAATGAATAAACTTTGACTGCCTGTAGCTCCGCTACTCATCGGTATCGGACTCATGTTCATATGAACTTGTTTGAATACAATTGAGATCAATCACCCATTTTAGTTTGGACCTTTGCACCTAAATCACCTTGTATATTCGTCACAATTTTTTTTTGTTGCTGTGGCATATATTGAAAAAAAAAAACAATAGATACCATTGCAGCATTGCAAGCAAACTACGAGTGAAATATAATTTTAAGCGAATAATATTGCATTTTGAATGCATCTATTCTTTTATGTTCAAATATTATTACATGAATGACTAGAAAAAGCAACGGATAGGTGTTTTACCCAAAATTTATTATCGTTTCTCATTCGATCATTATTACTTACCTTATTATGACGCCTTCGCCATTTTGAATACCAGTATATACCAATCGTGCTACAAGCAAACTACTTTATCGCTATGCCAAGCTTTAGAAACTGATTATTTTCTTCTCTAAGGCTAGAATACAATATGGAATATGGAATATGTAGTTACAATTCAATTGAAAAGCAGAAACTTACATGCAAAGTGAAAAAATAAAACTGAGACTAATATTGAGTATAAAGAATAAAGATAATGTAGACATAACATTGAAGACAGAAAAGTCACATAATTTATATACCGGAAGAAATGAAATGATGATATTGGAAAGATGTTGAATATCTTATAAGAATATATCTGAATTAGAATATCAATATATGTTTTCTTATTAATAGAGAATAATTTTCATAATTGATTTGACCACCATCTCTAAAAACATTATTATTGTTAAATCTTTTTCTGAATGCATTTTCACATTTTAACTGACATTGCTCTTCATTTGACCTCTCCGATATATAATCAGTAGTAATACTATAAGTACTTCAAAATATTCCGGTTAAACATCGATAACTTGTTGCTTCGCGATCGGATTATTTCAACTGTTGAACCAGTGCCGGATTAACCACGTAGCAAGAGTAGCAATAAATGCTACGGGCCCCGCAAATCGGGGGGCCCCGCGCTCCAACGCCTGTCCGGCCTTGTCTGGCCTGTGAAAAAATTGCATCAGATCTGTACGACGACTGTGAAGAATACTATCAGCAATAAACATAGGGACGAATCGAGCGATATACAAAGTAAAGACCAAGTGAACGCCTCTCTACTACACTCGACGACTTTGTTGAAAATCAAACACCTGGACGACGTTTTGAAGTTCAGGTATTTGTTTCCATTATTGATAACGTACTGTCTGCTTCAACTGAACGTTTGATAGCATTTCATAAAATTACTAGTGTTTTTGGAGTATTTCGACGCACCAAACAGGAGCCTCTGGAACTACAATTTTATGAACTTTCATTGAATAATTCTTTAAAATCATGTTTCCCAAACATAGAAATTGCCTTGCGAATTTACGGGTATCTCACGATCGCTAACTGTAATGACGAACATTTTTTTTTTAGTATTGAAACGTATTAAAAATGAGCAGTTAAGGAACACGATGGGCCAAGAACGTCTCAATCAAACGGATAAATATAAAGCATGATTTGCTAGAAGAAGTCGATATTGAAAGTGTTATCTCTAAATTTGCCCATATATAGGTATATCCAGAGAAAACATCTGAGGCGATCCATCTTACAGTGGAGTAAAGGCAATAGGACAGGACAAAATTCTTACAGTCGACTCCACCAAAGCTATACTTTATTGTAAGCAATCCTACAGGGACATGTTTCGAAGCTTTGAAGCTTCATCATCAGCATTATTGTAACATAGGAGTACTAAAGTGAGAGAAAAAAGAACAATGTCAGACAAACTCCTCAACAACGATAGGTCTAAAAAACTCACCTGTTCTGGAGGAACATAACTTTTTTCGGTGGAAATGATGCGATTTTTTTTGTAGTTCTGAACGAACGTCAAATCAAAATTTGACGACGCGCTTTGTTTGCATGTAATAATCTGAATTGGTTACTCTGGAAATGGAAATAATTCCGAATTTCTGTGTATACTATGTATATCCACGTATATTCGAACTTATATACAAGGTAGGTAGCTTACCTCAATTGAACCTTCTGATTGGTTTAAAATCATACGAAGAGAATAATCTATTATATCTATTACTATTCTTAAATACACTCAGTTCCGAAAAAAATGACGTGATATTTGAAAAGAAAAAAAAATAGGCCGATTTTTATTTTTTTTTATTTGTTGGTAGGTAATGCATTTGTCTTTAAAAAAAATAAAGAGGTGAAAATGTGTTCAAAGCCTCCTTGATGGTGGTGGAAGGTAAGACGACATACTGCTCTAAAATGTCAATGTAAATTTGAGCATTCATCGACTGCCTCACCGGAAGGGGTGTCTTTCCGTTCATTGAAATCCATTCCCACACCATAACGGACCCACCATTAAAACTTTCGCATTCTGTTATTAAATTTTGATTAAACCGTTCACCAGTTCTTCTCCACACTCTTTTTCTTCCATCCACCATGTTAAGGCAAAACCTTGACTCATCCGTAAACAAGACATTCGACCATTCAGGAATATTCCACTGTCCATAATTTTCAACAAAATTTCTTCTAGCAGCACGATGTTCGGGCAATAGTTTGGGACCTTTTGCAGGTCTCCTAGCTTTTAAATTAACTTCTTTTAGACGTCTACATAACGTCTGCTTACTTACTGCAGCATCACGAATTTGGCGGAGATCTTGCTGAACATCATTCACCGCAGTATTTGATCGATTCCGTAAAATCCGCAATCTCAAGAAGCGATCATCTCTTGGAGAAGTTTTTCCGACCAGAACCGACCCTCCGAGCGGTGCTTCCTGTTTGTTCGTACTTGCGGATTGCTCTACGAGCAGTTGCTTCATGAACTCCCACTGCACGAGCGGCGTAACGTTTACTACTCCCATCGTTTACTAACGCAACTAATCTTGCTACTTGTCATATACAAGGCATACAACAAATTAGTTGCTATGTCAACGGCATTTGTTTTTTTAAAGACAATGTGATCATACCATAGTACACCCCAATCAATTTTGAGTACTCTGATCCTTCAATAAATTTTATTTGTGGGATAAGCGTAAATATCAGCAAAAAAGCTGTAATTCGGAAAATTTTAGAGATAAATCAATGAATGAAGAAACAAAATGCTCGCAAAAGACGCCTTTATCGTATAGGGTGCAAGCACTTTGTATACCATTCCTCAATTAACACACAGGGTGAGTCAAAAATTTAGAATAAATCATGGTTCGAGTTATTCCACCACCATCAAGGAGGCTTTGGAAAAATTTTCACCTCTTCATTTTTTTTTAAAGACAAATGCATTACCTACCAACAAATAAAAAAATATAAAAATCGGCCTACTATTTTTTTCTTCAAGAAGATAGGTTCTCATCTAATTCTCTAACATTATTAACTTGTTCAACTAAACTAAGGTTATCAATGTGTGTGATGATTGTGATAGATAGACATGTGTTCGGCTGTACTCGATCGATTTTCCTTGACATAAAAATGAAGAAATTGACTAATTTGTAAAAAGAATAACACAGAAAACAGATCTGCTATCGATCAACCTGAAATAGGTAGCTTATAGCAGGGATGTTGCAGTAGAGTTAATTCTCACACATTTTACGCATTTCTCGGCAATCGACAACAAAGTGAACGAACAGTCTATTATAAAGAGAACCGAGAACGTGTATTTACCAAATTGGCGAAAGCGCTTTTTTGCAGAATTGGCGAAAGCGAATATATACATTTCCGGCGAAGGTGCTTTTGAGGTTTTGGCGAAAGTGCTATGAGTTGAATTATGAATAATTGGACCATATGATTGGTAAAACGGTAACGATGAAGATCCTCTCGTGGAAAAAATTCAAGTGGTCGGCTTCTCTGCGGTTTTATATGTTATTGGTAAATCCGAATCTGAAGTTTGCAACAAAATTTCCTGGAGCGTTCCGAGATATTCGCAAAAAAAATGCGACATTTTCGCAATTTTTTCAGTTTCTTGTCCGTAATGGAAAACTATACATTTTAGCGAGAATACCGTTCTATGAAAAGTTGAAGTAGATACAAATTTCTATATTTGATTGTTATTGCTCATGAATGTAGGGCTAACGGGTGAGGGGCGATCTGCTCCACTTGCTCCATCACCACCTCCAGAACCCGAACCTTGTGGTACCATCCCCCTGCCAAACAACAATTTAGCGGGGATAAGATTGTAGATTGTAGAGATTACCCTCATCTACACAGTGAAACATTTTCGGGTGTAATTTCAATCGAGTGGATTTCAGAAATAACTCGATTGAATCAACACTTGATTAGCAATATCATAAATTTGATGATACCGTGTACAGTGGTGTCAATTGAAACCTCCATAGTGAAAAATCACACGGATATGGTAATTTAGAGCGATTCTGAAATATCCATTCAGAAGAAACACCAAAACGATGAGAAGAAATGACTTTCGATAGGGGTATTATTCAAGTTAACGCAAAAATACACTTATTATATGAATCTAATACCTAGTTACACCCTGATTAATCACGAATAAATCATAACCGTGTATGGATCATGAGATTCGGGGCGAATATGATTCACTCATCGTCTTGCATTCTCCCATGTGAATAAATAATGTTGCTAATGTTGAAATTACCACCTGAAAAATCTCAACTCATTGAAGAATGAATAGAAATTGTGTAGGTATATCATCATCCACGGATTCTGGTATCCAGATTGAGAGGTGGCAATAAGAACGGATGATTCCGTGAAAATAATGCATTAAATAAATTTCAAGTTGATTTATTAATTATATATGAAGATTTTGAGATTGCGAAGCTATATAGAGTGCTTATATCGAACCAGATTGCAACATAAAATGAAATATCAAAGTATACATTTTTTGCACAGAAAAATATTGAGTAAATATCTTGATAGATGGCGACACTAGCGTTACTTCGACGCTCGTCTCTCGACAGCCTTCAAACAGTATCAGCTCAGAGATGTTTTTGTTCTTGTAATGTCTCAACTCTCACAATAATGGACCATTTAATACACTGAATACTTATGTTATTATATCAGAATCGTGTTATTCAACACTCATATGCAGATGCAGAAAAGAAAGCACCGCTTCTCGGCGGGATTACACTCAATAATTAAATTTTCACAACAGAAAAAAATCCGAAAAATATTCACATTTCATAATTATACAGTAAAAGCAAAAACGCAACAGATACAGTGTCAAAATAATCACCAAATTATGATTGTATAGTACACCACTCTGGTATTGAATAATACGAACCGATCAAAGGAGCACTAGATACTCTATTGTAGTTCCTGAATGTATGTAGGAACGAATGACACTTTATGATGGTGTTGAAAGTTTCAGTGTTTATTCCCAATAAAATAATCAGGACCTCAGGAGACAATACATGCACCCAAGGCGGCCCGGTGGTCGAGAGCGCGAAGGCGCTGAGTTCGTATGGGGACTCTCACCGAGGCATGGGTTCGAATCCCAGTTAGGCCATGGATGTTTGTAAATGTATGCTTTCCTAACCCCGCACAAGTTTCGACTTATGGGGCGTTGGATCCAGTGCTGGGTGCAACGAGGAAATGCAATTGAAAAAAAAAAGGGTGTTAGCTGGTGCGAACTGGTGTTTTTTTTTCACTGTGTAATGGTCACCTAAAACCCTAGACTTCTGATTTTTTTATGCTTAAATTTTCCACCTCGACAGGCGTCAGGTAAAACTGTTTTAGGTGAATCATAGAGTGTAATTCGGTGAGACAATTGATTTATCAAACATTTGTTTACGGCTGGTTGTCATGCTTTCAAGAGTTAGGTTCCGTTATTGTCATTGGAAAAGTTAGGCCAAACTTTTTTAGCTGTGATAATGAAAAAATCACGTGGCTTGTCACACGAGAGATTTTTTTGTTGAAGTAAACTTGACATTTCAATGAAAATTTTATTGCCTGAAAATCTGGAAATGAAACAAAAAAAATGTCTAGAAAATATTTACGAGTCCGTACTTTAACCTAACAAAATGCTTGGATGTAATTCAGTAAGAAAATTTAATGAATTCGTGAATCACATTACTGTTGAGGGATTTTTCGATATTCCTCCACTCAATTTCTCCAATCTGAGACTCTCCAAATCGTGCCATTTCATCAGATTAGATACTTTTATGGCAATTTCAACTGTTGATAACAAATGTAAATACTACAAACGATAAGATTTCCACAAAATTCTCAAAAACAATTGAATTTTCCATAAACCTTTCCACACTGATATCACTATTCCTAATAATTCAACACACCTTTATCAACATAAAATTACAGTATACAGTATATACAAAGGCTAGTGAATGTCCCTCTTTCGGAAGTGAATTCCAATAAAGAACCCAATATCATAAAACAGATTGCAGTCAACAACGGATACAACGTTAATTTGATAGACAGTATTCTTTCTATAAAACTTATTAATGAAGATATTCAAGAAATTTATCCTATTATCAAAAATAATACTGATACAAGTAAATATTTCCAGAATGCCTATTGATTTCGATTTAGCTTAGTTGGCGGTCTTAGGACTGCTAGCTGCAGACTGCCCTGCACTGATGAGAGTCAAAGAGCTCGAAATCGGTCTGTAGGTGTCTAGTGTGGCCTGGCTAAATCGGAATCAATAGGCATCCAGGAAAGATTCACTTGTATCAGTATTCGTTTATACGTGTCGATGCATAGAAGGATGTAATTCAATGTTTTGCGTTGCATTAGCCAGAAAAGTAGTTGTTTCTCTTTCGAAATCTACCATTGTTGTTCATTTTATTACCACTGTGTCGATATGACTTTGAGCTTTTTGTATTTATTTAATATTTCATTCCACTTTGTGCATTGTCGCTATTTCGTAGTTCAAAAGTTAATAACAAAATCACAGCCGGTTATGGGATTTTCTATACATGAAATAAATTGTCATTTAAATATTATAAACAGTGTTCATAATATCTGTTGAGTTAGTATCTTAAAATCCCAACTCAATATCTCTCTTGATGGTGGCCCTATAACGCCCTTTCCACAATAACGTCCTTTAATTGGTTTCCGTAGCGATATAGTTATGACTTCCGGTATCTGTTTTCCGTGCAAATGAGAGACTGAAATAGCTATCGATAACGCGATAAAATTGGTCGTAATAACCACTGATTCCCAAACCAATCTACCTATATCGACCACTTGTTACCCCCTTGATGCGGTCTTAACAACTTAATTAATTCAATCTAGCATGTGGGACCAATGTTCCATCATTGAATATAAAGATGAAGGATTACCCTAACTGCACACGGAAACAAAAGTGCGACGAAAGTTGAAGGATAATCATTAAATTGGCTTTTACTTGATGAATATCCATTATAAAAATGAGAGCAACTTATAAATGGGTGAATCATTAGCATCTTATTAGAAATTCCATCGAGAAGAGACGACAGAGAGAAAAAAGCCAAAATGAAAGAAATTTGTTGTCTCCTATAGTCAAGAGGAAAAGAGACAGTTGTTACATTAAACCATTGTAATGAAATGATTATCACTCAATCAAGAAGTTTTCAATAGGAAATATAGTATCCAAAACTAATATGCGAACTTTTGTTTCTTAAATAACACTCTGTGTTTTAGAATAGAATAGAAGAGAATAGAATAGAATTCTGAAATTCTACAAACAGATACAGAATAATATATATACATCTAAAGCTGGTCATAAACAAAAACATAAAATACAATTGAAAGCATAAAATACATGAATATAATGCAAATGCAGTCAAATACTCTGACACTTATAGCATCTAAAAACTTATTTTCAGTGAAATAACTATAGGAATAGATTATTCATCATGGTTTATTGCAATTATCTTGAAGATTTTATTAAGTACATCAGAATAGTCAAAGAAAGAACTTCATACTTAATAATATTCATTATGTACTGTGTAAATATATGGTAAGCTAAGTTATATAGTTATAGTTATATAATAATTGAGGAACTCATCAGTCCCATAAAACTGCAGTTCATCACATCGGAAAGTATGCAAGTTCTTCTTCAAAATAGTCATTGTGCTACTTGTATCTTGTACTTTTACACTTAATGCCTACATATTTCGGCGAATTTTGATAGACCCCCAAGTGTTGGTGAATAGTTTCACAATTCCTCGTGAAATATAGATAGACTTTTTTGTCATCAATTCCATAACAGCGTTTAACAGTTATGAAATGTACTTCAGGAGTTGTACCATGTATCACGGAAACAAAGGGTCACCCAGCAGAAATATATGCCTTTAGGGACCTTTATTTCATCTGCAAATAATACGCGATCGTGAGTTTTTGGTGTTTACTTTTGGAACACACACACACACATATCACAAGAAGTTTGAATTCAGACAAGAAAGTCTGAATTCAGCATAAAAAGTCTGACTTCAGAGAGAACAGTCTAAATTCAAACAAAAAAGTTTGAATTCAGAAAAAAGGATGAATTCAGAAAGAAAGTCTGAATTTCAGAGATAAAATGAGATAGGTACACACAACAGTGGCCTTTCGAAGCTTTCGTAGAATTCAGGCTTTTTTCAGACTCAATTATTAGCGTTCCCGAGAAAACATGAATTCAGTTTATCACGATGTCATTTAATTAAGCAACATACTGCGTGATATATATAATTATGACTTTAACCACGCTACATAATTCAATAATCGATAACTCAATGGAAACATGCACAAGAACCCTTCAAACAGAAGACAAAGAGAATGGTTTTCATTCAATATTTCTGACTCCATTCGATGGATAGACATATGAGTTGGCACAATCAATAAGAGTTTTTTGCTTGATCAGCTGTTCTGAGAATATACCCTTCGAACAGTATCGCAGATATTGAATGAAAACAATTATTATTTGTGAATCCCTAGAATAACAATGTCAAATTGAGTTTACAAGAGAGTATGTATATTCATGATTTTTTCATCATATGGGCACGAAAGGGAATCCCTATTATGTTCGAAGAGCATTGTTGGTACCTAGGAAACATAGAAAAGAGGTGTTGGAATTTGTTTTGAACTTTTGGAGGTAATAATTTTTTATGGGAATACTTCCTTTATATGTATACCTCAAGAATACATGTCTCGTGAAAATATCTACAAAGGAGTGTAAGGTCGCTGAGTGTACTATGGTGTTCCATTGTGGTCAAGGTATGAGTGAGTGTGGCATCACCAACCAGATAAATAGCTGGTCTCTGGATATAATCTGAGAGCATCAGCCTATGAGTCAGTGCCAAAATCATTAGATACGAAACTGATAAATTCACATGTTCAAAAATATTCAAAGGAACGAAGGAATGCTCGAAGTCTCCACAAATTTTAATGGTGTTGTTACATGATCATAAGGATCTTATAGAAGACCATGATCTTCAGCCTAATTGAAAGTTCTACAACACAAAAAGGTTGATGTGAAAGAATTACATAATTTGTGATTGACTTTCTTGGAGTTGACGAAATGTTTGATGCTACTAGTTGTGATATTGTTGTCAATGCTCATAGTCAAAAAATCTAATTATTAATGGAAAATTGGGTTCTCAATGAATGAAGGGCCTCATGTCTTGAGATCGCGTACCATTATTTTCATTGAATTTTCATATACCAGAATAGTATATGAAGGGTATTGCCACAAGGTTTATTTTGACAACACCGTGCCCTTATGAAATAAGCGCTTCTTAAGGAAAATATCAATAAAAGTGATGGGGCAAACAGACAGCACGTGTTTAAATCTGAACTAATTTGGTTAGAGAACACTGAAAATAATGTCAAATAATGACGTAAAGGCAAGACGTTGACATAAGTTGACATTGACTTTGGCTATCTCGCGCTCTTGTGGGTGTCGTCTTCATTGCACTCGTACACCCTCTACATTCTTTCAACACATATTTTTGCGTCACAATAAAGCAGGGTCACATGCATGTGTCATGACAATATTCAGAATATCAACTAACTCACTTTAATTCAAGTCCTCAAAAGATTATATTAATATATCAAATAAGCAAAAACGTATGACTCTGAATTATCGATATTTTATTGCTTGTTTCGTATATGGTAACCTTCGAAACAGTTAAGCTCAATGTACAAACCAATTAATTGGTCACGATAATGGTATCCATGGCATTCAAAAAACGTAGCATCATATAACTCGTAAATCTATAAGCTGCATGCTATATAAAATACGGGTTCATTTATCTCAAAAATAATTCACAGGTGCTTGCTTCGAATGGAAGAAATTTTGAAAGTCAAGTCAACTGCTTGATAAACATACAGTGCGGACGTAAAAAGTCCTCCCCCCCTTTTAACCTTTGAACGGAACAAGCTAGCGAGATCGGGTAAGATTCTGACAAAAAGGTACCTCTTTTACTATTTGGCATGAAAATAGTTGTGGGTACGTGACCTGGGGTCTTCAAATATAAAGATTGGTCACGTGGTACCTTGCTTTGAAGGCCTTTCGATTCTCTATTCAACAACGCTGCGTTTGTACAAATAAGCCAAGCCGTTTCAAAATGACAAGTGTTTGAAATTTGATTCAAATATTAATATTAATGAATAAAAAACCTGAATAACTTTTAATTGCAACAGAATTTCAAGTATTGTAACAAGTGCTCAAACATGCTCTAAATGTTCATCGTTCACTTATTGACACGAAAAAATCGGTTTTGGAATTCAATCCGAACGTGATTTACTGTTTCTGAGGTACATTTCAAGCGCTTGTCATTTTGAAACGGCGTGACCGATTCGCACAAACAAAGCAAAGTTGGATAGAGAATCGAAAGGCCTTCAAAACAAGGTACCACGTGACCTCTCTTTATATTTGAACGAAAAAGTTGATGGTGCCCAACTGACACTAGGTCACGTAACCACAACCATTTTCATGCCAAATAGTAGTGAAAGAGGGACCTTTTTGCCTGAATTTTACCCGACCTCGCTAGCTTGTTCCGTTCAAAAAGGTTAAGGGGAGGGAAAGGACTTTTTACGTCCTCACTGTATAATTCTATCCATCTAAACCCTACAAACTTTAATTTAAACCTTTCGAATGAATTCACTTTACTTTCAATACCACACTATGAAGCCCGTTTCATTGCAAATACAAATAATGTGCATCGTTTTTGGGTAGCCGCTGAGATTTGATAGAGCTGAAATTGTTGTTCTTATCCATCAGTCGGTTGCCCCCTCACGAGCAACCCTCAGAAGTCTTCAAGAGACTTGTGCGAGCAAGGAATGACGGGGGTCTTACCTTTCAACGTGTGATCCCAAACACTTTCTCAGGCCATCAGAAAAATGTATGCGGTCGTGGTGGGACTCGAACCACAGTTTAAGGATTCCCTAAACTGTGCTCGAACCCACTACCGGTAATCCAACGTGGATAGAACATTGACGCTCTAGCCACGAGGTTACGCTGGCCCATAAATTGATTTAGTGAAAGAGACTCCTTCGTATGGCAACCAAGAACACCTGATCTGACCCCGTTAATAATACTTGCTACCTTTAGTAATCATGTTATTGTTTGCAAGCTAACCGGGGTAATTTTGAGCAATATACACTCACTGGCAAAGAACCAGCTAGCAAAAATTGTGCCAAATTGATCGCCCTGTGAATTTTCAAATTCTTGTCCGATTCAGATGAAATTTCGACCAAATCGTAGATTTATGTTCCAAAGTCTTCGCCTGAATGTTATTTCTCCAAAAACTAAGCTAGATACACAAATCCCACAGAGTATAAAAAAGTCGTTATTTCAATAGTCCAATCTGATGAAGATAATGAAACTCAGAAAAACCGGTGATGTACAATTAAATTCACCATGAATATCGATGAATTTACCCACTGTGACGCCACTGGAAATATTATTTCGAATCTCATTGCACTAGAAGAAGCTCCATATTACTATTAACAAAACCACAACGTTTCATTGAAATTGATAAAAAGACAATTGAGAAATTTGTTGAATTTTTTCGGCGTTATTTAGATACACCCTGTATAGGAGCTAACCAATTTTGACTAATCGAACATAAAAAGGTGGCATCAAAGCTTTCGCATCTGTGTAATTGGGTGATCTGTGCTTCATGCGGTCCAAATCAACATGCGCTACAAAGGTTCAGTATATGCCATGGACAATTGACGGTATTTGAAACTGAACGTTGAAAGAAAATCAACTTTTAACACTTCTGTCATTACGAATTTGTGTAATTGCATTTGAAGTTGTGATCGAGTACGTTTGTGGAATATGAGGAAATGTACACTGAGAGAATTATCTACATCTAGTTGAAAATAATTGCATAACCACATCAAAATATCAGCATTGAATAGGTGCCAAAGCAATTTATTTGATGAACCATTGTCGTTCTAGATGACAACCTAGTTAGGTAGTTAGTAGGCAGGACCTCCTCGCACTAGGTCGCCTACTAGGTTTTCATTTAGATCGACAATGGCTGAACTTAATAGATTGGTTTTGCTAAAAGGACACAAGTAGCAATTTGGTTGTCAGTAATAGATCGTACTGATTCGTATCAAATAGGTTAACTGATTTACTATACTCTGATTTTCAAGAGATCACAGGAAATTTTCTTCATAACTACTAATAGATCGTCGATGCTGGAAATTTATATGGATTATTCTAGATAGATATTATAGTTCATCGTTATAAATAGATGTTCGAACAGCGTGGTGTCGGTCTGTTTACTAGAATCTTTTGACGTCCTATATTCCTATTTATTGATGAATCCTTATGGAAGACCGAATTCAAAATTATAATCAACAATCATTTTGGAGAGGAAATATCTGAAAAATACTTATATGTGAAATTGAATAATACGTCCACTGATTGAAACATTATATAGGTTTCTTCAAAAACAGACCGTTCTTCCAACCATTCTGTACAGGCTGTTCCGAATTTATTGTCCGCATAATGGTATCCCAGAT